TTCCCCATGTGTAACGTGTATACGAGCCAGAGCCAGTTTCCCTTAGAAAGTCCTCCACGAAGGTATCCCTCCCGTTAGGCAGATAGCCCTAGTGTGCTTTGCCATAATTAAATACAATACAATACAATAACCCTTTTCTGGACTTGAGTTGGTTATACACTTGAACTCGGCAATATGCCACTATACAATGTTCATGTCGTTTACACACTTCTACTCGGTGATAAGTCGCTACATAGTTCAATTATGTCCAGCATAGACAACTCATCCACACTTCACAAAGCACCTATTGTTTGTTTTTGTTCACATTACCTGTATTTTCGTAACAGTTGATGCAAAATAAAATTAATGACATCTAATTTATTTTTATGATTGAGCAATTTTTTAACTATGTTTATATAATCTGCATCACATATTGCTCTGGATGGAAACTCCCAAATATTGTATCATTTGCTACCACTGCTGTTACCCCGTGCATATTTCTTTTCCTTTTGGTATTTTCTGAGAAACTTGGCTTATGATGAGAGTTTGCGATAATAATTTTCCTACTGCTCTATAATAAATACACAAGTAATATTTTAAGATAGGGACCCAAATAATATGGAACCTAATTCAGAGTTGACTGCACAAATGAAGAAACTCGCAGAAATTTAAAAAACTTTTTTTCTTCCAATGGTGGGCCCTCAGCTGATTTCAGTTTGGCCACTACTACGGCCAAAAGTGGTGGTCACTTTATTCTTGAGGCACCTAATAGCTGAGCTACCTTTGCCTCCTATGAAGAGATGGACAATTACAACCATGCCTTTTCTGGTATTCGAACCCGAGCATACCGTTACACTGTCTGGATGACGAAATTAAAAAACAAAGACCCAATAATGAAAAATAAAATTATTGCAGCTCCAGCTTCTCATTTTAGACAAAACACAAAGACAAATAAACTTCCCTTAGCATTTATGTAATCTTAAGACTCAACAGAACCCAGCCTGGAACAGAGTATACACTTCAACAAAAAAAATCCCCTATGTTTAACAGGCCAATGGTTGCAGGCATGCCATATAACAATTCACATTTGGCCATCTGATGTAGTTCTGTATGTTAGAGTCACTATCAATACAATTCAACTATTAAAGCATGAGACTTTTACTGGTGTTTTTATTCTGAAATGGTTAACAATTAAAAACGTTAAAGATTAAAGAGAAAGAATTCATTTGGTAAACAAACGTACCTAAAAAATTTCATGCTGTTACTTTTAACATAATTTATATACTTTATATATATAATGTATAAAATTCACTGTTGTATCAATGTTTACAGCATCAGAAATTTTTCTTTCAAAACTAGCTGGATGATTTTCTTGTACCTTAATTAAGGTCTAGGTTTCAGAGTAATTAAGTATATACCTACCAAGTAAGCAGCAATTAATAAGCAATAATTTGTATAATGTTTCAACATACAGTGATCCAGCTGCGATTTATTAAGCCTACCAGTAGACAATGAATTTGATGTCATTTCTTATCACTAAAAATAAGTAAAGAAACTAAAAGAAAAAATAATTTTTGGTTCAACTTTTCGTGAAAGATGACATCCTGCAATACAATGGAGAAAAATCGGCAGGTGGTTTCATTAGAGCGCATGTCACAGTCGGTGATGGAGCAAAAAGTGAATATCAAGTTTTGTTTCAAAATTGAGAAAACGGCCAGTGAAACCTACATGTTACTGAAAATTGCATATGGAGATGCTGCTATGTTCCGCTCCCATACTTTCTAATGATATGCACGCTGTTCGAACTTTTCATAGTATAGAGGGTGCTGTTGCGATAAAAGAATTTTTCTGTGTGTCTAAATTATGTAACTGTAGGTTCGCCATTGCGACGCCGCTGTATTATTTCCGTGATATATTTTGTTTTCATTAAATATAAACGAAAGATATCGTCATGTATTTTTGTATACCAAATCGAGATGAAAATTAGACTGATGCAAACTCGCCGGAAAAAAAAATAGTGTTCGAACAAGAATCGTCAAGTGTTGTGTTATACTCGCCTCTCGAACTTCGCATTAGTATCGTTAATCGCTTCGTAATGCACGCTTTCACGATGGCAGGGAAAGCATGGAAGATGACCAGCGCAGTGAGCAACACACCTTAAAACGAACAGAAAATGAGGTCGCAAAAATCCACACTTTGGTGACTGCAGATCGCCGAAAGACATTTAGAATGTTTATGGAAGAGTTACTTGTGAATAAGGGCAAGGACACTGCAGAAGATTTTGAGGGAGAATTTTGGAAAGAATTTGCGGTTTGTGCCGTATTTTTTTTTACAGACAATCAGAAGCAATGCAGAATGGAAGCTCGTTGGGACTTAATTGATGCAGCTGACCGAGATCCGTCGTTTCTGCGATTGATCGTGACAGGCGACGAATCCTGGTGTTACCAGTATGATCCCGAAACAAAAAGAGTGCCAAATGGAGATCACCATCTTCTCCAAGAGAAGGAAAAAAAATCTGTTTCCAGAAGTAGAAAGTGAAAGTCCTGTTGATCACTTTCTTCGATGCACATGGACTGATCCATCATGAGTTTGTGCCACCTAATCAAACTGTCAACAAAGAGGACTACGAGGCTGTTTTTCATCGGTTGGTTAAATGAGTACACCGTGTGCAAGCGAATAAGGATAAAGGCAGCTGGCTCTTACTGCATAACAACATGTTGCCCCACTGTGCTCTCAAGGTGAAGCACGTTTTGATAAAACACGACATCGTAGAGGTTAATCAGCCTTCGTATTCTCCTGATTTGTCACCTCCTGACTTGTTCCCAAAAACTTAAGACGCATAGATTTCAGGACTTAGAGGACATAATAAAAAAAACGCAACTGCTCAACTTCGAAGCATATCTTCAGAGGACTACGAAGCGCATTTCCAGAATTTGTACTGCCATGCACAAAACTGGGTAACTGTTGGAGGTGATTATTTTAAGGACTATTAAACGTATGTTTTTTTATTATTCTTTCTGTTGTATTGGCCCCAATTCTGGAATTTAACAGCTTGTATTATGCAATTCATTTTACTTTTACTGACAGTTTACAATGAACTAAATATCATGTTGGCTTTGTAATGGATTCTAATAAGTTTGCAGTCATTATTAATTTGCAAAATCCTTGCATCCTTGTAGCACATTTATGATGATCACATAAGCAGAACTACAAAAATAAATGTTGCATGGTTTGAGAATTCTCTATGGTTTAACCCCTTCAGGGACAGTATACCAGGTGTACAGGTATGAAATGTGGATTTTTTTTCCCTGAAAATTTCAGAAGAATGATAAAAATTACTTTATTCAAAGTATGCACCATCACTTGTTACACACTTTTTTTATCTTTTAGGCAATTTGTGACCCTGAGTAAAAATATTCTCCTTTTGCTGCAAATCATTCATCGAGCCATTTTTTCACATCTTCATAAAAAAACCAAGTGGTGCTCAGCAAGTCCCCATCAATGCAAACAAGTGATAATCGGAAGGAGCCAAGTCTGGTGAATAAGCCTCATGCAGTAAAACATCCCAGCTGAGTGTTTCCAACGTATTGCGAACAGGTTTTAGCATATATGATGGAGCACTGTCATGAAGAAAAATGACTTAGTGTTGTCTCTTTGGTATTTAGGGCCTTTCTTCAAGCAGCAAACAGTTCCAAACAGTTCAAAATTGGTCAAATATTTTTGGCAACATTTAGTAGGCTTTAAGATCTCATAGTAGATCATGCTTGTTGACTATCATCCAATTGCTCAGCGACTTGTTTCATGTTTGTGAATCATTTTTCGTCCAACAATGCTTGCAATTTCACATTTTTTTTTCTCTCCCCCACGTTCTTTGTTTGCAACTTTGAAGTCACCACTTTTGAAATACCAAAACTATCATTCACACGTGTCTTACGCGTGTTCATCATAAGCTTCTCAAAGCAATCATATCATTCAGCAGCAATTTTCTTTAAATGAAAACAAAAAGTTAATGCTGTCCAGTCTCTTAGTTCGGTATAAATTTTGACATAAAAAATACAACAGTATGCACACACTTTTCTAATTTCTCACTCGTGCACACTTGTTGATTACACAACAAAATGGTGCAGTGTCAAATCTTTATAACAAACTGCATTAGTGGATCAACTATCTGAAATCTGCATTTCATACTTTTGCATTTAGTATAAAAACAATTTAAACTGTGGTAATATTTTGCAAGAATTTGTAACACACGAACTCTAAGAACAAAATTTGAGGCTTGAAAAGATCTAGAGTGAAATCCTGAATTTTGAGGACCAGCAGATAATCTATACTATTCCTCCTGTCAACCACTTTTTCCTATGTGATCGTTAAACCATTTTATACCCGATACACTCAAAGCTCTTTTCTGTATTTTCAGCCAAGGGCTCTTTTAATTTTTCTATGAATAATGCAGTAATATATATAATTTTGTTCAGAAAGTCCTTAGTCCCATCATACCTTGAAAGCTCGCTTTTTCTATTATTAGTCCTTCAGTCTTGTAAAAGCCTCTTTCATAAAAATTGCAATACAAATAAGCCCTCTCTTCCCTGCAGAATAAAGGCTGATGATAAGACACATGATAAGACAATAAAGACACATGACTGTAGTCTTAAAAATTATTAAATAATCTACTTTTAATCACCAGTTTTGAATGAAATACAGTAAATATATATTTAAGTCTAGCCTGTATACGTCATATATTCGCAGATTTTCCCCACCCAGTACAATTTATAAATTCTGAAACATGAGACTTCAGAACAAGATAAATTACTAGCTGAAAAATATTGGGCTCTGATAGAGAAGTTCTGCCACCTAGTATATCGGGGTAAAAAAGAAAAAGAAGGAGGGGGAAAAAAGAAAAAAAAAAACAGAAACTCAAGAGCACAGCTTTCGGTGTAAAAAAGTTAGCATTTTTAGGGGTTAAAAATTGTTTAATTTTTAGCATGTTTCATATACCAGTACCCTTCAAATGGATAAGCCAATTAAAAAGAAAAGCAATGCAATATTACAGTTTATTTTCTAACCAAAGCTCAAGAATCTTACAAAGTTTCAGAATTTGCATCACATTAATGAAATACAAATAACAAAAAAATAATAGGATTACAGAAATGAAAAGAAAAAATATTACCTATGATTATTTGTACATATGTCATAGATGAGCTAAAAATTTAAGTCCTGCCAAATGAATCAATCAGTGAAGTAAGACATTACAAAAAGGGGAAAAAAATTAACACAGTAGGAAAAACAATGTCGGCTGGTCCACGAAGCACGACCACCTGCACCATGGGAAGGGGCCAGCATCCTGGGAGCCATTCTCCCCAAGCAAAAACATTTCAACAAACCATGAGACATTAATTAATTTTTTTCAAAGTTCTTTCCTCCAGGATAAAATAATGTATTTCAGTGGTGACAATAAAAATGTGAAAGCTGAATCACTTGCTCCAGAAAGAGCATACAGTAGAAACAGTGCATAAGAAAAAAATTTTGAAGAAACCCCATCATTAAGTCATTAAATGTTGATGCTGCTAACTTTGATGAGGAAACCTTAGCTGTATAAATCATCATCACCGTCTTCTTGAAATGAAGGAACATTCTGACTGCCTCCGGTAGACGGCTGAGAAGAAGGAAACCTGAAAAGAATTCATTTTCAGATTTAAGCACAATATTTGAAGGATATTTTGACGAGGTAAGAAATTTTAACCACTTTTTTACAGTAGTTTGCAGGGGCTGGCTTATATAAAAGTTCAAAATTGTTTCCAAAAGGGAAATTATAAATTACATAATTAATAAATTTTATTTGATCCTAGCATTTATTCATCAAAATTTTTAATACCAGTATCTAACTGACCATTTCCTAGCGATTCTATGAAGTCTATCCCTGCTGGAGCCGAATCTGTGCTAGCCACTCTCAGCTGCTTCAAAGATAATGCCTTTACCCATTGTGTTGGTCAGCAAAAATAAAGTTTAAAACTAACAGAAAAAATATTTAGATAGGAATCTACAGCAAAAATAGAGAATAATATGTTACTAGTAAAAGCCTAACTAAAGACATCACATATGAAATACTGTTAAGGCCCTTATTTTCGCAAGCCTATCGTAATCGCGAAAATTTAAGTCTCGTGAAATACTTTTTTTTCTAACTTTCTCAACTTTACTTAGGTACTTTTGAAATCTTTCAACTTTCGGTTCTGTTCATATAAAATTCGCGATATTTTCAACTCGCGAAATCACCGATATATTCATTTTTGTGAAAATTAGGACCTGTGAAAATAAGGGCCTTTACAGTACCTAAAACATGGGAAGTTGGGAAACTAATGATGTCAAAACTGCCTTTTCATTCCATTAATACTTTCACGATTACAGAAGTTAGTTTAATAGCACTCATCTTCAGCTCACATTTCAAACTGGATGACCAAATTATTTGCACTTTTGAAGATACATACTGCTATGAAATGTCCAAGCGCAATAAAATGGCTTCCCCGCAAAGCAGTTTTAGGGTTGCCATAAAATAGCAAGGGAAGGTACGGTTGCCATGGACGGTTGGAAAACCTTCTGGAACGATTCTTACTGGTTTAGACCAGAATGTTCTCGAACACAAGCTGAAAGCTATATAAACCCTGCTGGTTCGCAGTCAGTTAGTGCCTCGCCTAGCGAGCTGATAGTCAGTCACTGAGCGAGTGTCTCGAAGTCTAGCGCCGAGTGCATCAAGACAGTCTTTTAATGCATCGTCGAATTTTCTCTTAGACAGCGCTGAGTCGAGAGCTATACTCTTGTGTATCATCGAGTGCATTGCGTGGAGTCTCGAGAGTACGTGGAGTTCCGAGAACGACTGAACCGAAGAGTTGGGAGCTGTACTTGGCTGCTTTGCAGTGAAGCTGTCTCCACCGTTATTGTCTGACAGTGTGAAGGCTGTGTCACTGAACGTGTCAGCGTGTTTATAACAGTTCAACGACTGTAAAAGTGATTTTGGAGCTGTCCTGATTAATACTGGCCAATAAAGTGTGTTTCGATATTTCATCATGAAGTGTCGTCATTATTCACTCCAAATCCTCAGCGAACCCCGTACAAACGAACAACTGGTGTCGGAAAGGAAAAAAACACAACAATATATATACAGTGAATCCTGGTATGACAAATTTCGAAGGACTGGAAGTTTGGTTTGTTATATCCGACCTGATAAGAAAGCAAAACATGAAAAAACTCGCAAAAACATAAAAATGCTTTTATACTTTTTTGCGAATGGTGGGCTCGTCTTTCTTCGACATTGGCCACTCCTAAGGCCAGAAGTGGTGGTCATTTTATTGTGGAGGCACTTAATAGGCGGCCACTATTACCTAATATGAAGGAACGGACAGTTGCAACAGTGCCTTCTTTGGGATTTAAACCTGTGCCCTTCAGTATCACAATCGGCTCCAATAACCACTATACTATCTCGGCGGCTTTTGTGAGACAATATACTTGAAAACTCATAATGAAAAATATTGATCAATTTATTTTTTACTTAACCTTTTCCTGGGGTCAGAGACACACATTTATTACATTATATAAAGTTCAAGGAAATTTAGTGCATTATGGAGATTTAAAATTTGCTGCTAAATGTGTAACAGGAAATAGCACACCCTGTCTATTTGTTTTTATATTCTTTACTGAGTGAATAATTGACTAAATGGCTTCATTACATAAAAAATTAGTCTCTAGTCCCCGTGAATATGTATGGTTATGCATTTCAAAATGCTTAAAGAATGCAAAACCCCCATTTACAGGATATAATTTGGATAGCATTTACAATTTAAAAAAAAAAAAAAAAAAAAAAAAGAGAGAGAGAAAGAAATATGGATTAAAAAATTTCATTCTCTAAAAGACAAATGAGCTCTGTAACACAAACACATAAGATACACTACTACTCCTTTCCCTGAATAGTGAAAGGAATCAAAATTTTCATCATAGTATCTGAATAGAGCTCTGTTTAATGGTCACATGCAATGCATACAAAGAATACCACATTATATTCTATGATTTGTTTATTGCATCCTTATTTTCCTAGATTGGACACACAACATATCACACAGTCTTTGTTTAGAAAACAAAGAAAAGTGAGTTTGAACACGAAGAAAATCATTATAAAGTGTTTTCCTTTGTGGATTCCAACATTCTAAATGTGGACGATTTTAAAGGTTAATAATATTTTCATTAAAATTTGAAGAAATTTTGAAAAAAAAATCGTACCTTCAGAAGTTCACTATAGCACCATAAAATGACATTAAATGTATAGAAAATTAAAAAGTGCCAAATGGTTTGTTCGTTATATTCAGGTGTTTGTTACAGAATTTGACTGCAGCTGGATTTGTAAGACAATTTTAAATTCAGCTTATACAAGGGTTTTGAATTTCAGCTGTTCCCTGCACCCAAATCTTACCTCTTGGGTTTTGTTCATAAATATAGGGTAACCAATTTTTTAATTCTATTACACAGGATGGGATAGTAAAGTTTGTGGAATTGTAACCACTACATAAAACAAGAACACATTGTATAACACAAAAATGTACCACTGTGTGCAAAAACTAAATTGGTAGTGTGATAACAGAAGAGTTAAATTACAAATATTTGAGACCAGCTTATTCCACAATACGCATTAGTATATTTTTTATCAAATGCCGTTAAAATATTTTAATTTTTACAGTATTTGTTAAAATCTGAATCAAGACATATTGCCTCAAATAAAAATACAGTGGAATCTAGAGATATACGAATTTAATTCGTTCCAGCATTGAGCTTGTATAGTGAATTTCTCATATCTAGAAGCAAATTCTCCATTGAAAATAACGGAAATCCAGTTAATCTGTTCCGCATCCCCAAAAATATCAACATAAAAATCAATTTTCCTGGTAAATAATATAACCATAGTTTAACTTTATGGCAAATCCTGACTGGTGATAGGGTTGTTGAGAAAGGGCAGTCCCCTTCTGATTCAGGAAGACTCTCTTCTTGGGAATTTTACCCCACTTGAAGCGTGTTTTGAGTCAGAATCAATTTCTTTTAGTTGCAGGTTTCTTTTACCAAAAACTTATAACACTTGCTTCTGTCTCCTTTTTCAGATGCCTCTAAAATGCAACACTACATTTTCATTACACAAGTTCATGGTGTGCCCACACACTGCTTTAATAGGGTGATTTTCTTATCTATGATTTCTTTCTTAACTTCAACGGCTATAGCTTCCTTCTTTTTTTCTTTGCAGCACTACCTGAGGCAATAATCTTCTTGGGAGGCATTGTGAAATAATTATTTTCACATTAAATGTAAAAAGCAATTAACTCTCAAGCGCACAAACGCGTAGGTCAAAGAACACACTGCGATCTGACGAGGGGATTCCCTAACTCAAGCCAGATCGGGAAACGCTCCACGCATACCAACAACCTGGCTGGCTCGTTCCTCCAGTCAATGCTCATATTTGGAAACAAATTTTTCGCTCATACTTTCCTCATACCTTGAATTTCTCGTATAGAGAGGTGCTCGTATCTCAAGGTTCCACTGTAAATGCATTTCCTTACAAAATTCTAAATACCGTAATTTCCGGAAGAAACACCGCGGCGTTTACGTGTTTAAAATTTTCAGCAGGTGCAGCGTTTCCACCCATGCGGCGTTTAGGTGCACTGTACATAGTTTGGATGGCCTTGTCATTGTGCATAGACTGGTGCTGTTCCCACACAAAAGACCATCCAGTTGCTTTTTGCGAACGTTATTTTTGTTTACATTCTTTCCCTTGAACAGACCTACATGCCTTATTCACCCTAAACGAGATCTCAGAACAATAACATTCTTCCCCCTTTCAAATCAACATTCTCATCAGTTTGAATAGTCTCTTTCCTCTGTGATTCGATCCTCTCCCCACCCCTGCCTTTTCTGCAATTTTTTTCAAAGGCGGACATGACTCCACCTGCCTCGCAATAACGAACTCTGATGTATTTCCCCTTCAGCGTGAATGGATTTTTCTTGGCATTCTGCCAAATACAGATCCCATCAGTTTGGGTACAAGTACTTGTTGAATAGTTTCGAAGTAAGAAGGGAGCGGAAAATTTTTGAAAATGTCTCTAAACGGCACAGAAGCTATACATTTTTTACCTTTAATTTATTTTTGAGTTATGGTTTCACTTCATGCATTTTTCGTAACTGGTATGTCATATATCAGGACTTAGGTTGAGTTTTTGCATCTATACGGTCCACGACGATGTCATGCGCAATTTAATCTATTGCAGCGTTTCTGTGTAATTTTAATTTTTTTTCCCGCCATTTTTCTCGAGTGCGGCGTTTACGCTGATGCGGCCTTTCTTCCGGAAATTACGGCAATTGTTAATGTTTTAAACTCTTTGCAACAGAAATAAGTATGGAAGACAGTGGAAGACTCACCTAAAACTAGATCCAAATCCTCTACTTTGCTGTAATGTTTGAGCAAACATTTCATATTTTCTAATGTCATTATCACTGACAGACCTGCGAGCGAATTTCATGGCTTCCTCAAAGTGGTCACGACGAATTTCGGGCACCGGGTCGAATTCGTCCGTATCCTGAAAGATAAAAATTTGAATTTAGGCAAGAAATGATAAACATTTCAAGATTTTTTTTTTTAAATATGACAGTATTGATAATTATAGAATGTGGATTACGTTAAACCCTTCATATTACAGTTATCAGATCTGTTACCATTTTGTACAGAGAGACATGCTCTCTTTACTTAGGTATATACGGTTGGGCAAATCCCATAATATGGAGTTTTGGGGATTTGTCCCCCAAGTGGAGGCTGGTAATTACACTCAGGATTCAGAACCTGTTCGTACCATAACTATTTGTTTTGGTTTTACAATCTTATATTCAGCTCTATCACTGCACTTCAGAATATCAATTACATGTCTGAGATGTTGGGAAGGTGGTGAGAGTAATAACAAGCACAAACCTAAATCATTCATTGTCATTATTCAAAAATTCAAATTAAATAACAGCTATTTGTTATATCAATTCTAGTAAACCATACATCTGCTTTCAAATATGTCGTCTTTATAAGTGAAAAATTCAAAAGACTTTAAGGTGGAAGGGAACTATAAAGAAAGAAAAATATCAGAAGCAAAGAAAAAAGAATTTAAAAAAAATATAAAGGTTTTCAGATTTTATATTACACCCAAAGCAGCTCTCTCTCTCTCTCTTTTTTTAACCTTTTGTGTGTTGCCTTTATTTAATAAATATCATGTTCTTCGCACTTAAACCATAAAATTCTAATCAGTAATACAAATTTAAAAAGAGCATATCTTTAGAATTAGATCCCCCCCCAATAGAGTCGCCATTGCTTCCTTCAAGTTCTTTTAATCAAAAATCATTTAAAGTTTTACAAAATATGAAATACATAATAAAAAAATTTTTTAATTAGGGCTTCCAGATGGCCAGAATTTGATGGCTCTAGGTACCGTCATTTTATTACAATGCGAGAAACATACATACATTTATGCAGATTCTTCATTATTTAATATCTTTAAATATGAGGGTTGGAACTTTAATAGTGGCAACACAGCTAAAAAACGCTACACAACAAAACCCAAGAATATCGCGTATACCACACATGAACTACATACCTACCTTACCTCTCAGCAAAAAGACTCGTCCTGCCTACGTCACGCGCATGCAGAGTGACGGGAAGAACAGATCCTTGTATTAGCTCGCGGTCTAAAGTAAGTGTTGTCAGTATGTTTTCAAAACAAGAACAACAATGTTGGATAAAAATTGAATGTGCCAGAGGTAATACAGCATGACAGTGTCATCAAAGGCTTCAAGAGGCTTGAGGGGAATCTGCATTGTCTTACAGAACCGTAGCAAGATGGGCGAAAGCATTCAATGAAGGATGCAAAAACATGGCAGACATGCTGCAGCCAGGGCGTCCGAGTGTTAGCGATGCAGACGTGCAAGCTTTGTTCCTTGTTCGCAGAAATATTTTTGGATTATGATTAGGCACAATGATTTCTTGGTAAATCGACAAGTTTAAAAAAAAAAAAAAAAATGGTGCTTTAACCTTTTGAGGCCGGGGGCTTTGGAAGCAGTAAAAGCTACCAAAGGACGGGGAATCTTGAACCGAATGCTTTCCCCACTTTAAGAAATCACCTCATATTTGCAACAAAGATTCTTGTGTGTAGTTTAATGGATTCTCAGAGGGGTGAATTTATGTCGCAAAAGACCTTTGAGAGATAAGGGGTTAAAACCCTAGGGGCGTCAAATTTGACATTTCACCCCACCTTTCAGCCTGGGAAATAGGGGAAAAAGACATGGCCACTAAAGTGGACAACCCCGTCTTTTCAAAGAGAGGACTCTATGGCCACTATAATGGCCATCCCATCTTCAAAAGGTTAATGTTCATTTCTTGCACAGGAAAAAAGAGCTCAACTAAAATAAGAAACAGGGCAAAAGCTCACTTTGATGACAGAAACTTAAGTCGGCAACATTTGACAGTTTCTTGCCAACTTGGTAACTTTCTGAAAATTTTGGGAAAACATTTTTGAGGTTCTATAAAAGATAAGCAAACCATACATAAATATGATTCTGAGAGTCAGAGCCAATCAAATCTTATTTGTTTCACGAGTTTGCTGAGTAATACTGGTAACTTACAATATTTCTCATGTGTTAGGAAGGATTTACCTTATCACTGCATTCTCAGTGAGTTTACAGCTTTTATTTTTACTCTGTATAATTTTGCAAATTGCATTACACTGTTCCTTCAATAATTTATTCTTAAATATTTTTAATGATCTAATGATCAGAAAACCATGAAAACACCAATAAAATAAATTATTGAACAAATCATAGTAATAAACACAGCATAAATGCAGAACTTAACAACTGTAATAAAAACATTCAGACTTGGAAAAATAATATAAAGACCATAAACTTGCCATTGCTGCAGGCGCCTCTGGATTCTGTTGTCTTTCTTTTTCTTTTCTAATTTCAGCTTCAATCGATTCCCGTATAGCTAACTTACAGGCTCTCTGGCAAACTTCTGTCAGATCTGCTCCACTGAATCCCTGGGTCACCTTAGCTATGTAAGTAAGCTCTACATTCTACAGGATAGAAAATTTTTTAAATATTAAACCATCTATTTCTATTTCAGATTTTTAAAAATTTACTTGCACAATGTAAAAGCAATAAACAATGAAAATAATAAAGCACTTAAACAGGGAAACACATATTAATACATTTTTTGGTTTTGTCTTAAATCAGATGTTTATAAATCACAGTTTCTAATCAGATAGTGCATAGTATGTATTTCAGATTCAATTTAGATAATCAGATACAAAGCTTGAAGCACCTGATTTTACCTATGTCAGTTTGAATTGGTATATGCAATGTATTCATCCAACAATTCTGACGTAATCTTTGGTAAATCTACAAACTTGCAATTCTGAGCATAAAAATTTAAAATTGCGAATCTTGAAAAATCACCAGATGCTTTAATTTCCATCCACAAAAATCTTGATTTTAATTTTGACTTATTCAATCATATATTTGAACTTCAATAAGCTAAAATATAAGGCACCAATGAAAACTTTAACTGAAAATTCAAGTTAACAAGGCTTTTGGGAAATTGCACTTAAAAAACCCAACTGACACGATTTAGAAGTGAAGGTAAATCATATTTAAAAAAGAAAATATTTGTTACACAAATTAATGAAGAAAATAATTCCCAAAAAGTCTTGAAATATAATTAAAAGCAAAAAATGTATTATGACATTGGCAATAAAAAATGCATATGCAAGAAATTATACGACTGATGATAGAATAACAGTGCACCCATCCACTTCAATAAATATTGAAAGTGAATAAAACAGACAACAAAATATTTGAAAACTACTACCTTTGGGTTTCTTAAAAATAGAACATGTTAAACAGATCAGTTTTGTGTTTAAATTCACATACTTCATCTCTAAAATCAATTAAATTTCTTGGCCCATAAATTCACTAGAGTAAAGATACCTAAAAAAACTCGGAAAAATCACAGCACTGCTATTTATTCTGTATTTAAGATTTCTATAATAAAATTTTGGAAAAAAATAAAAAAGGGGAACACAAAACTTCATCAGAACTGTTATTACTGAACTTTCACAATATGTAAAATTTTTGGATGTTCACTTCCAAGACACTGAAAATTTGAATGTGACAGTATGGATCATAGACCTGTTGAATTGCAATATATTTGATCTTGGTATGCAAGAAAAGTTGACAGCATTAAAGAAAGATGTTCAAGCACAAGTTTCAATTGAAAATAATGAGTTTTGGAATTTTAAAGTCCAGAGAAATATCCTAAAACAATAGTTGTTACCAAACAACATTAATGATTTTGCACTGTTCTTATAGCTAGTAGAAGCAGGCTTTAGTCAGGTCGATAGTTTACTATAGTATATAAGAAACTGGCTGAATATTTTTGAACAAGGTTATTTAAGAATTCAGCAATTTTATGCTTAATATTTAAACAATTGCACCAATACATCAAGTACAGCCATCACTCTAATTAAAATCATGCTTCTATGCAGATAGAATCTGCAATATTTTTTCTGAAAATTTGTGTATATTTGTAAACTTATACAGAATAATAATTAAAAAAATAATAACACATAAATTTAATAAATAATTTACTTTAAAACTTTTGTTCATATTCTTAGTCTAATTATTATCATTCAGTTATTTATGTGCAATTATTTTTATTAAGATTATATTACATTCCGTATATAACAGAGGGAATCGTAAAGGAGTAAGTAAGGGAGTCTATGAAGAAAATCATTCTTTTAAAGGGGGTCAATATCAGAAAAAAGTTGGAAATTCCTGGTTTAGTCAATTCATACATCAATAAATATATGAAAATAAGTTACCCACAAGTCTATCAACAACAGATGTTATTGCTGATCATCAAACACACATCAGCCAATGAGCACAAAATAAGCTATTCCTCATGCTCTCTCATCAGTAAACAGTGCAAATTTTAGAGACACATTTGTTACACGAACGATTTTTGCTGTGTTTTTTTATTCTGCTCAGCGGAAAGATTGGCATTCATATACAGTCAAAAGTCGTTAATCCGGACTCGTCGGGACTTCGGCGATTCCGGATTATAGATCATCAGTTTAAATCTGGTAAGATGGCATGCAGAAATTACAAAATTAAAAATATGAAACCGTAATTTATGAAATAAAGAACAATTATGATCTAAAGGGTATCAAAACTTACAAAAAGAAAAAGCTTAATATTTATTTGTTTACTTTATTAAACATTTCTTTCAATGTCAGTTGTTTAAGTTGCTTCGTTTTTTGTGCTAATACTTTCTCTTTAATTCTATTAAACAGACATAATTTCTTGTTTAGTTACAAAGTTCCGCTGTTCAAGTCCTATAACTGCTGTGTCGTGAATACCGACTAATTTGTCAATCGAAATTTTTTCGTTTTCAATAACCTCTCTGTCACTTCCTTCACTATCGGAAGTGAATTATAATGACGAGGAACTTGATTTAAATCATATCAAAGAAGGAGTACATCGAGATGAAATACTACATTTGGTAAGGAATTATAAGCCAAATAAAAATAAAAACATCTGCCCTGAAGATAAGGATAATGCTGACAGATCAACTTCCAATTCATTGCGTGCCGCGGCGTTATCATAAAGAGGGCAAAATGATAATATTATGAACAAATTTGCGATGCTCGCAAAAACTTTGAAGCAAAATGTGCCACTCTCATCAGGAGTTTTTATTTAAAAAAAAAAAAAAAAACTGATTACAAGATTGAACTTATTTCTGTTAAAAGGTTCAGTTTCTTTCCCTTTCATTATTTAATCCAAAGATATAAACCAAAATATCTATTCACTAAATGTCAAAATTCTTAGGGCATCCTTTATTATTCCATTAGAAGAAGGGAATTCCTTGGAAACTACAGTTTTTACCTCAGTCAGTGTTTTACTTAATAAGAATATCAGATTTTATGCTTATATGCAAACTTATTCCTTCCTCAAATTTGTTTTGCATTGTCTACATACTAGTGAGTTGCAGCAGAACTGGCTTTCACATTGCTGTTAAAGTCTTATAATTTTTAAATTATTTTAAAGTAATATTCACATAATAAAATAAACAGTTGATCTTTCTTATTTTCATCTTTAAGGGGAAGGAAATTTTCCATAAGAAGAGGGCATTATTCACTGTAATCTTACCTTTGAAACAGGTGACTTTCGCAAATTAGCTTTCAAAATTGATTCTCTAGATTTTTCATCTGGTAATGGAATGTAGATCAACTGGTCTAATCTTCCAGGTCGTAGAATAGCTGGATCGATGATATCAGGCCTGTGAGCAGAAAATGTAAGTTACTGCATTTAATATTTCCACAAAATTTATACAGAAGAAATGAAATGGTCTATTCACGAAAAATAACAGTAAAATGGATTTAAATTACTGAAATAATAAGAAGAGAACAATAAATGAAGTGACATAAAATACATAATGAATGTGATTTTAGCTTTGCATATCTCACGAAAAAAATAAATCAGCAAATAGAAGGTTTCAATATTAAAAATAATCAATGATGATAATAATGATAATATATTATGGAAGAAACTATTAGTAAATATAAAGTATAATTCATACAATAGTTACATACTTACATAGTGTATAAAATGAGTTAGAAATTATATATCACATATCCTGCTTTCTTTATAAATAAAAGACTGCATTTTAAATATATTTATTGATACTAATTTAAAGGAAAAAATATTTGAATAGAATGGTTAAGATTCAATTACCGATTGGTTGCACCAATTATGAAAACATTCTTTTTGCTGCTCATGCCATCCATTTCTGTCAAGATTTGATTAATTACTCTGTCAGCAGCACCACCTACAAAACAGTTACATAAGTTACTTTGGAACGCAGAAAAAATGTTTTATATGATATTTTTATAACATTTTACTTATATGAAACTGTATTAAAATTTTGCCCTAATATAGACTAAGTTATGCCATCAAAAAGGATCAAAATTTCTCATTTTACAGTAATGGAACTGCATGCACTTAATCCTGGAATAAAACAAAAATATGGATTTTCCTAAAAATCTGTACATCTAATGTATTGCACATAAACATAACACACTAGAAAACAGAAGGCACCTACTTAAATCAACATACCTTGCAAAAATTTTCTTCATTCAATATTTCCAAATACAAAACAGCTAATTAATTTAAAAATAGACATTCAGAATCTAAACAACATCTAACAAATGATAATGATACAGATGTTGTAGGAATAATAACAGATGCAAAAGATTGTTTTCTAAGCACACAAACATTCCTAGAAGAATGCTCAGAAGATGAACTTGACATTTTGATCAGAAAAGAAATATAATGAATAATATATTTCAGAAAAGAAATATATGATCAGAAAAGAAATATAATAAATAATGAAATTATAGGGAAAAAATGAAATTTGCTCTTCCCCCTCCCCAAGCTCAAGATGACAAAGAAGCAGAATCAAAATAACTGCATATTGTTGACTATTTGCACATTAAAAAGCATAAATGGAAAGAAACAATGTACGTTTTTTTTAAATACCATTATATGGTAAGGCAATATAAAAATTTATAAACGGTGCTCACATTATTTTAAAAATGATAAAAAGACTCGGATGGTTGTCAGTGCTCTTTGTTGGACTCATGAAACTCTTGCAAAAAATTAAATAATGTGACAATGGCTATCTGGCAATAATTAATCAAGTTTGAATGAGGTTTAATAGTTGAAGCTTAGTACTAGTTTTAAGATTGTCAACTTCCACAACATACACTGCATTGCCCATATCTGCTGAGTTATTGACACCAATGACTCTGATGAGAAGCTCCCTGTATACAAGAGAAACAATACAAGAGAAACTGAATGCCACATTGAATGAAAAGTGCTCTAGAGACATGCCTATGAGAATGGTGCAGCTGAATTTGCTGTTGATAAGATACGGCAACAAAATAAATACCTAACTTACAACACTTGGAGTTGGCTTCACTGCTTCTTTTGAGCTTGCAAACATGTGCACTGGACTCAAAATGAGTAAAGTTAACATTTATAATTGTATGAGCTAATAACTGGATTTAGGTATGGTGTAAATGTGTCCATGGACCCAATTTATCAACAAGACATGGCGAAACTACTGGTAGTTCTATTACGGAGGGTGTTTACCTGGCACCGACTAGGTTCTCTGGTTAAATGAAACAGCCCTTGACAGAAAAGCACTATGTCCAGTTGCTTAATGACCATTTGCAAACGTTTGACTTCACAAATCTCAGTAACAACAGGATCTTTCAGAATGATAATGTGAAGTGTCATTAAGCACTTAACTGTTTTGCCCAAAAAAGGACTTTTTTTATTTGTCCGTTTACCACTCGGGCAGTGTATTTTCCTACACCAATCCACTGATTTTCCCAGCTTTTTCACATTTTGTGTTGTGCAATGTTTCTAATAGATGCCTCTAGTAAGTTCTGGAGGTAATCAATTATAAAATCAGTTCAAGGATATGTTTTACAGCTTTTCATTAGGCGAAGAAATTCAACAAGTTTGTTTGTATGTGTTCAGTTTGTATGTGTATTAGGCTTCTTGAATAGTATTTATTCCCAATTCTGGAATGAAATAATGGGTGACAGTAAATGGCTCATAACAATACAGTGAACCTCGAAATATGAGCACCTCTATATACGAGAAATTTGAGATACGAGCACCTCTACATACAAGATTCGAGAGAGCACCTCTACATACAAGAAATTCGAAATACAAGAAAGTATTTCACGAGCCAAGCTGTTGGTAAGCATGGCCCAATTTCCCGATCCGGCTCGACTCAGGGAATCCACTTGTCAGATCACTTGGTGTTCTTTGATCTACGATTTTGTGCACTTGTGAGTTAATTGTTTATTACATTTAATGTGAAAATAATTATTTCGTGACGCCTCCCAAGAACAACACTGTTACCTCAGATAGTGCTGCAAAAGAAAAATTAGAGCCATGACTGTTGAAATTAAGAAAGAAATCATAGATAAATATAAGCATGGCATAAGAGTGATAGAATTAGCGAAGAGTTATGGCTTTTTGACACCGAAGATCTGCACTGTCCTGAACAAGGAAGAAATTAAGAAACTTAATGTAGGCAAAGGAGTTACTGTTACTTCCAAGCACCGTCTAAAACTCCCAGAAGCTGTTGAGAAGTTGTCATTGGCATGAATTAACAAGAAGCAATTAAGGTTAGTGTCGGAAGCTATCATAAATGTTAACTACAGTTATATTATTAACCAGTGTTATTTATTAGAAAAATTTATTTTTATGTTGATATTTTTGGAGGTGCGGAACGGATTAACTGGATTCCCATTATTTTCAACAGGGAAGTTTGTTTCTAGATACAAGAAATTCACCATATGAACTCCAACTCATATCTCGTGGTCCCACTGTATATAAATTCTGATACCGAATCAGATGGCAAATCCAAATTTTCTATAAATGATTCTGATAGTCCTAAAAGTTCTTTATCATAATTCTCTAGTGATGATGAGGAAACAGAAAGTTTGGATGATCTAATTCAGATTCGGAACTTTAATGAAAATCCTCCTTCACCACTGCCAAGATTTCCTTTCACAGGGAATTAATTCACTTCTTTCTCATTTATCTCCTGTAAAGTTTTCTTTCCAGTTCCACAGTTTCGTCAGAAAAAAGACAACATGAAGTAAAAATGCCTTCATTTCGCCATAATTAAAAATTATCTTAAATTAATAAATGCAATACTTGTGACAGTTTTGACCGCTGATTTGAATTCATAAAACTGAATAGAATGCAAAATTGTTTATAAAAAATATGCTCATTTTTGGTCACAATATGGCAGGAAAATGTGGTTAAGCTTCATGATTAGAATTAGCGATGATTAGCTCGAGAAGCATTCTGGACAATTCTAGCATGATTTTCCCTTTTAGTTCTCTGAACATTAATTCTGTGAAAGTTAGTAGCGATATGATCAAAAATCATGCACAAGACTTATCACCCAAACATCTTTCTTGGGGATTTCCACTGATTAGTTGAATCCCTGCCATGTCATGCGTCTGCATTCTTCTAAGCTAACTTACCTTATAACAATGTCAAACTGAGGTTCAACGGTATTGCATAAAAATTTTCTAAACCCTTAACAATTTTCAGCAATGTATCATATACGATAGGGATTCCCAACCCACAGCTAACCGTTCTACGCCTGCAGGAAATAATGACCCTCAATGATCGTTTAACGTGTGCCCGGCGCTGTGCAATCACAATAAAAATGCTTTAGTTTTCAATAAAATTATGCGTAAAAGTTTTCTCATTTTTAGTGAAATAGAAATTGCATCCAGCACAAAGCGAAATGCGACCAATCACTTTTATTATGTTGCATGTATTATTAACTCTACCCAACTATAAATTCACCTTGAAAAATAAAATGGAATTCTAGAATGCGCTCTTAAGGGCCGTTCCCACTGGGGTTTATCTGAGCTAACGAACCCAAGTGACGTAGCCGATCCATCTCCAAAACCAGTTTTTTCCCCCACAGGGCAGCAAGTTGAAAAATCTCAACAGCACACACAGCGGAGCTAGTCGACACAGGGAATTGACTCCATTATAGCTCAGAACAACCATAGTGGGAATGGCCCTTTAGGAACAAAAAGGCTGGGAACCCATGCTCTACAACACCATGGATCTCCAGTTTTCATAATTAACAAACACTTTTTCAAACTAGGTACAAGTCGCAGGTAAAAAATTCTTACATGCCACAAACAGTAACAAAATCTATTCTTGGCTGCACAATTGGAAGAATGGTCAAGAAACCAGAATAAAATAAGCAACCATGCAAATGTCGCCTAATAAATGTTGTTTAGATATAGTTCTTCATGAACAGATCCAAAATGTAGTATCACTCAGAGAATTAATATGCATATTTGAATCCCACATTCAAAACTTAAATTTATACATGATTGAGCCTGGATTCTATAGCTTCAAAAAATGTTTATGAACATTTTGACATAATTATTAGATATGAAATGAATGTCCACTAAATAACCACTTTCTGGTATATAGAGAACAGTCAGATATGACTTTGTGGCCAAATATGAAAAATTAAATATGTATAAAAAAAACCTTGCCTTTTCTAATATCAAAGCAATCAAATCATCATTGAATTATCTCTGCAAATGCCATGGTAAAATATTTCTTAACTATAAAGAAAAACCAAAAAAAAAATTTTTTTTTTCATGTCACATTTGTCAATTTCTAGTATACTGTCCATATTAACCATCTCATCAGTCAAGCTGGTTTTATTAAAATATGAGATTTGCTACTACTTACAGGTCCTTACTTAAAATATTTGACACTTAAAAGGAGGGAAAACAAGAAAGAAGATATCATTTAGTACTGTTATATAGAGAGACAGAAATAAGTAATGATACAAATCTAGCAAATAAATACATACAAAAATTGATCATGTATGTCTACTAAAATGGCTAAAACTGAAAACTATATATTCATTGTTTACCTGCATCACCAACATTTCCACCTCTGGCTTTTGCAATGGAGTCCAGTTCATCAAAAAATAACACACAGGGTGCAGCAGCTCGGGCCTAATGGAAGAGAGGATCCTGATTAACTTACTCTATATAATTTGTCTTATAAAAACTTAGCCTATATAATTATATATATATACATATCAAATGTTGTATGATCTTAAATTCATTTAGTGCGAAATCAAGTTATTCTACTACTTGCACAATTGCTGCAGAGTAAGTTAATAATAATATTATTTAGTAAATAAATTATATATATATATATATATCTTATAACTTGCCCTATATAATTTTTTCTTATAAAAGAAAAATTATGCACAATATGTAGTTTTAACTTTTTTTTCTTAACTTAACATAGCAAAATGAATAAAGATCTTATGCTTTTTTACTGACGACATAAGCAGAAATACCATATATTGTATACCTAAATTTCATATATATTACAAGTTATTAAATGGTAACACTAAAGTTTGTCATATCAGTAAATCAAAATCCCCAGATTACAGGAAATGTTAAGATATTTCTAGGTAATCCAGTACAAAAATACCACCCATGGCATTCCTGCAAGCATTAAGCAACCTCAACTACTCTAGATTCTCCTATCAGAATGATTCCCTCCCTTTGTTAATATTCGTTTTAGAGAGGGCTGAGGGGGATTCAATCAAGTGACCAGTATGTGTAGGGCCTAGTAATACAAGCTCATCATCACTTATTTTCTCACATGCAAGCTTAAGTTTGAAGATAAGCTACAGGTAATAATAATACATCTGATGCCATTATGAACACAACTGTCAAATAACAGCCACTGGGATTTAAGATTTTAAAAAAAAAAAAAAAGCTTCGCCGTCAAAGGACTGCCAACAGATTGTTCACGGTGTATTGACAGATATCAGATAGACAAACATAACTATTAACATCAATTTCAGATTTGTGTTCCAACAATAAATCTCAAAAGGAGATCACAAACTGTACTTACCAATATTTCCTTTAAAGTGTGAAAAGCCTATATTTTCTATTAAAAATTAATTGATTCTCTCCTTCCAGGGACCCCCTTTTTTACTTCCTTGTACGAAGTAAAAAAGGAAGTATTGTAATCGCGAAAAGTTTCTAGCAGCTTATTCCAATGAAAATATCCATTTTGACCGCTATCGAATGCAATTTAACTATGTTTTTGCGTGATATCTGTACGTAAGGACAGAATAAGTACTCTTTTTCCTTCAAAAAAATTATAAAATTGCTTTAAAATTAATTCTGAAGAGAATTTTTTGTAGCGTATGTACGTACGTTTGTGCGTGCGTACGTATATCGCATAACTCAAAAACGAGTAGCCTCAGAACGTTGAAATTTTGTATATAGGACTACTATAACATGCAAATGTGCACCTCGTATTTTGGTTGCAATCGGCCGCACCAAACGTATATAAATATATTTATATATATATACACTATTACCCGGCTCAGTGATCTCAGTTTCTTTACTCTTATATGTTTGTAAATTGTACATTTTTTGCTTTAAAAATGATTGAATTATGTTGTTTTTATCTTCCGGTTAAGGATTTTATGCCTTTAGTAAATCTGTGCGCAATATTTTTAGAAAAGTTGTTTAATTGCCGTTAAGCCTGTTTTTAATGGCGGCCATTGATGTTTACATTTGAAACAGGAGACTAGTGGATTTGTTGCCAATCTAGAGGAACTTAGCTTCGCAACAACAAAGATAACACATTCATTTATTATTGCCAATTAAATCATGCTTAATTCTTTCTGGAATTTTTTCGAGGAAATAAGCGTTTGAGATTTACTTCATAATTTTTAATATAGATATTTTGAGTTTTTATGTATTTTTGCCTTGTCGCGATGTGAGAACTGAATTAATTAAATGAGAAATGCTCAATCGTCTGTGAAAAACTGTTTCATTTTTGTTTTGCTTTGCTTAATTTCTTTTATACATAGTTTTAGCTTTATTATAGTATTTGAATAGAACATGTGGCAATGATTAGATAATTCTTTAAATGATATACATTTTGTGCATTCTGAGTTATAATATGAATGAAATATAATACTGTTAAGTAAACCTAGCGCCAGAGTGTCGTTATGGTAAACAAAGTGAATTTTAAAGAATGCATTTATTCTATTGTGATTTATGCGCTGTCGGCGAAGTAGGTTTAATTCAATCTAATAAGTTTAAATAAAATGCAAGAAAAAAATGCGTAAAATTTAATATTCCGTACAAGGAAGTCATGTGGTGTACACATCAGATTTTTTTTTAAAAAATTTTATGCAACATTAAGACAGATTACTTCTCCCCTTATCTTATTAAAAATTTCAAATAGTTAATGCAAGATTATATACTTATCACACAAAAATTATAAACAGAATAATCACTTAACCCTCTCGCTGCACACCCCGTGATTTCCACGGGCAACGTAAAAGTAGCAAAATTTGCGCAACCCGCGATTTCTGCGGGTATGAATTTTTGCCGTTTATTTAACTGTGCAACCCGTTCTTTTCTCATTCAAGGTTTCCTTCGGCTTTTCTGTGATGTTTAATTGTTTATTTAGATGTGGACTAACAGATGCCATTAGTTGTCCACATTTCTGCCACACATACAAGAATACATAAATATAGCATTTTGCACGTGCTTTTCAGAGCTTAGAGATGTCTGGCAGGAAGCGTTTTGCGAGTGATATAACCTATATCTCTGACGATATTTCCGACACGGATAGTAGTTCTGACTCTGATTTCAAGTATATTGAAGATAGTTGTAGCGAAATTGATGAGAATTTCTCAGATTCCTCTGAAGATAGTGATAAATCTGAAAATTCAGTTTCTATTGAAAACGTTCGACGGTAGTGCAAAATTGATATGCAAAATATTACATTATGCAAATATTTTCATTAGTATAATTGTTTTACCTTTGTATTTTACAAAATAAATCAAAATTTAAGCAATATTAATTTTCAAAATTTTCCTTTTATATCATTATTCTTCAATTTCAGTATTCTGACAACCTTTTTCTATGATCTAATTCTATATTGAAATAAAAACTCTTTTACAAAAATTTTTTGTATATTTTAACTCTAAAATATATTAAGATTTGAAATATGTAATAAAAATATGCAATTTTTGAACCTACGAGGGCCATCCAGGAAGTAGATTAAGTTTCCGTCTGTGTCCGCTAGGGGCGGGGCTAGCGCGGCCATCTTGGGGTCAGAGCGTTGCGCAGCTCAGTCTGCATCTAGCAGTGCTAGTGAGAGGTTCGTGCTGTGCTCCATTCAGATACTGTGACGGTTTGAAATGTCTGCGTTAATTGAAAATCCCGCAAGCTGCGAGGTGCGCTCAGTAATAAGGTTTCTGACTGCAAAAAACTGTAACCGATAGAAATCTATCGGCAGCTTCGTGAAGTGTATGGGGACAACATTATCACTGAAGGTGGAGTGCGTCAGTGGGTCATAAGATTTCAAAATGGCCGAACCAATGTTCACGACGAAGATCGAAATGGGAGACCCAGCATAGTGACCGCCGAACTTCTCGAAAAAGTCGATGCTAAAGTCCGTGAATTGAAATTTCACAATAACGGAACTTTCTTTGAGTTTTCCACAAATTTCGCGAAGTTTGTTGCACGAAATCATCAGCGAAAAGCTTGGTTACCACAAGTTTTGTGCAAGATGGAGTCCAAAAATCTTGACAGAGGACCACAAAAATCAGCGAATGGCTGCAGCGTTGTTGAACTTTTTGGATGCTTACCATAAGGATGGTGACTCTTACTCGATCGCATCGTTACTGGTGACGAAACATGGGGTGACCTATTCCCTATTCCCAGCAATGAAGAAGTGGCTGGCTATGCAGCGTTTGATGACGACGCACAGCTGCAAGAAGAGGTAACGAAGTGGTTGAAGGCGCAGGCGGCCGAATTTTTCGACGAAGGAATTTCCAAGCTCGTACATCGCTACGATAAATGCCTTAATTTGTATGGTGACTATGTAGAAAAGTAGTATTTGAGTGTGGCTTTCATCTGTATATAATAAAATTTGTTTCCTATACTTTGTTTATTTTTTTATTCCAAAACGTAATCTACTTTCTGGATAGCCCTTGTATTTTAATAAAAAAAAGTATGCAGTGAGAGGGTTAAATATTGCACACAAATATTGATATAAATACTCTAATACAGAAATAGACTTCAAATATAGGCTTCAAAATACGTTTTAAACTACTTCTGAATTCAAATGGTCTAGACAATAAATCATATAATTTTGGTAGGATCTTTTGGGAACAATTTTCCTTTTACAGAGTATATTTCCCTTCCAAAAGTAAGATAAGAAACAATTTATTAATTGGGATTATATAAAAATCTAAATTTCACATATTTTCACTAAAAATATATTGTCTGAACGCTTATTTTATTTGGGTTCATGATCAGCCATTCAAAAGATATTTAATTATGCTTTTTTTATTAAACATCTAATAAAATGCATAGCAGGAAACCATATTCTCTCAAATGCTTCAAATACTATTAAGACAAATTATAAAATTTTTACCTCAAGTGAATAAGCATACCTTATCAAAAATATCCCTGACATTTGCTTCTGATTCACCAAACCACATGGTCAACAATTCAGGTCCTTTGATGGAGATGAAGTTGGCCTGACATTCATTGGCTATTGCTTTAGCAAGTAGAGTTTTACCACATCCAGGTGGACCATAGAACAACACTCCTCTTGAAGGGGTCATTCCGAATTTCAAAAACTTATCTGGATATTCTACTGGATACTGAAATATTTTACAAAAAATGACGAACAAATAAATTTAATGGTAGTTACAAATCAAATAATTTAAATTTTAAATGATGCAAGACAGTATATAAAATATAAGTGAATGCAACAAATATAAGTGACAATGGTACAAGTATCAAAATAAACTGAATTTCTCGTCTAAGCCTGATGACATGTAACATTGAGGAATACATCTGCATTAAGCAGTCATATGATTACAAAATATGAAACGGGCATTTTGTATCGACATTAGAAAACATTTGACATTACAAAATGTCATTCAAACTAGCTTTTTGACATTACAAAATGTCAAAAAGCTAGTTTGAAAACACGACTGATTTCTCAGTACTATATATGATCAAGAAAATACATATTCAAATTAGCAAACACGAGAAATCCAAGTATAAGCTTATTTAATATATGAAATCAAAAATTGAAGTTTAACTTGGTTTAATATATGAAATCAAAAATTGAAGTTTAACTTGGGAATGCGCAACTTAAAAATGTATCAAAATTTAAAAACTCCAAATTTCAAGTTATAAAATACTTCATTACATTTTTAACTTATTTTTTGACATACCACCCAAAGGGAAGGAGAAAGAAAAGAAAAATGTGGAAGGAAGGAAAGGAAAAAACAGAGAGAGATAAGGGGAGAAAATTTTTAAAAAAATTGATTATATCTTCACACATCAGAAAGAATTTTCAATCAAAATGAGCATATTTTAATATGCAAAATCCAAAAAAAGTGTGGTGATTATTTTAATTATAAATCACATTTTTTCACTTAAAAAATTACAAAAGCAAGTTTGGCTGTACTGTTTATTTATTATTTTGTCTATTATAACTCATTTACTTTACAGTTTTCAAATTGTTTAGTTTCTCTATCCAACTTTGGCATCAAATTTTACCTTAGTGCAAAGCCAAAACTAGAAATTAAAAATGGTATATTTTGCATATTCTTTTTGGTATTTTGATTATACTATGATTTATAATACTGCTTGCCCACTATACAGTTCAAAGAATTTTCACTGCTGTCCCCATTTATGCATAAATTTGAAAAGTCAAAGAAAAGAAAAAAATAAATAAATGGGCATTATTCCTAGATTGAATGATATATGCTAAAATCTTTGCACAAAATCCGAAATTTTGAGTCTATAATTTTGAGGTCAGCATGTTAAGGCAATATTTCAGATTTTACAGACTCCAAAGCTGGCTAAATTTCAGCATTTTGAGACTTGCCCTTTAATCTTATTTGCAGCAGAGCTTCTTCTCTCTTAAGCATTTCCTATTACATTATACAAAAAATACAGGAATTGCACATATAATTTCACTAAAATTATTTCTGAATTTTTTACAGAATTCAGAAATTTTTTAGAAATTATTTTAGAAATATTTTCGTGTTTTGGGATAGGACACCTCTCTCCAGGGAAGGGGAAAGATCATTTTATTAAATAAATCAAGGATTTTAATGGCCATATCATAAATGTAAATTAAAAACTAAAATATTTTTAATGATCAAATTTTCTCTCATTTAAAAGTCACCACGGTAAGGCACGATTTGATGTTTTACTTATACCTTCGGAAACAAATAATATAAACCTAATTATTTAAAAACTTCAATTTTCTAATGATTTTAAACATTAATAATTAAGTTATTTATGTTCCAGAAGATTACATATCGCATAATATACAATTGCGAGGAGGAGAAAAGAAGCAAATTTCTCAATTACTGGTACAGCAAAAATGTTTTAAAAAAACAAATTCTAGGTACATATGCCACTTTCCAATTAATTATTTCCGAAGTATTATTACATGATATTAGTAACTTTTAAAATGAAATGTGAAATAACGCTATGCATAAATTATACATCACTTTTTACAGAATGTTCACTAAAGATTACATTCCGATACTCTCATTTGTAAAAAGGAATACTTTATCAACTTGTTAAAAAACGAAGTGTAGTATATTTACAAACCTGAATCATCTCCTGCAGTTCCTTCTTGACTGGCTCCAAACCACCAATATCCTCCCATGTGACACTTGGCACTTCAACAACAGTTTCACGAAGAGCACTTGGACTGCTTTTGCCCATTGCCCACTACAGGAGAAAAACAGGATATGCATTACGATAAATGTAATAACCAGGGAGGCAAATGAAGAAAGAACATTAGTATGCATCTAAGAATAATTCACAATGAAGACTCGTTAAAGAAAATGCATCTATAACTGTCAGTAAATTTTATTTCACTAACACAGGTTAACATGAAAGATTAACTTACCATGTTTCATTTGCCAACACTGAAATATTTGTCAAAGGTTCTGATACTTAAAATAACTGCATCAGCAAAAGAAAAAGGGTCTCCCATTAGCTAAGATATACAAAAACTTGAGTAACTGCTATCTGGAAATATCTTCAGACAAATTTTGCTGAAGCAAAACGTCAACATCGCAAGGAAAGTGAAAAAAACTTGAAGAGACTGCCTGCTTATGCCTTTTATCCTTTCCAGAGTACGTCATTAGGGGATTAATATATATCTTAATATAAAGTCCGAATACTTGTTATCACAACAGATTGAACTTTATTTTGGAAAAGAAGAAAAAAAAAAAAAAAAAAAAAACCAGAGAATTGACACACTGGCACTTTCCTTCACAAGACCATTCTGTTTCAAATGATGTGAAACTGATAATCTGGCTCCCTAGGCCACTCAATTCAATTCTTTCCTCATCCCTCCTTTGGAAGTTTAGAAAGGACAAGGTGTTTATATTACCATTTCCACGTGCCTTACAGAAGAGGTATGCCCTCAGACAGGCAATATGACTAAATTGATCAGGCTACGCTGGTACAGATTTGAGACAAACACATATGACTGGCCATAGAAAATTGGAAAGTTACAAGTCATGTCTCATCTACATTTGCAAAATATATTACAGCAGGTACAGGTATGTTTTACTTTTATACCATTTATTTTGATTTTCTTTCTATTAACCATAATTTTTATTCCCATTTTTTTTTTTAAATATTTATAACTTAATTTGCACATAACGTCCCAGAATAACTTGGAATTTACACATCAAGTTTCAAGAGTGCCATTCTCATTGTCATTAGTTAAATGAGAATTATTTTATACTCACCCTAAAGTTATCCATGGTTACAGCAAGGGAATTAAGAACTTCGGCATCAATCTGCTCATCTTCAAGATCAATGAGATCCATTTTCTCACGAATCTGCTGTAAAGCAGCTTCTGAACACAGAGCAGCCAGATCAGAACCCACAAAACCATGGGTTTCTGCAGCTATCTGAAATATAAAAGGAGTTTAGACACAGTGTTTGATATTAAAAAAATGTTTCCAACTCAACCAACTTGTTTTTCATAAAGGTAAAAGAAAAATATTACTAATATTTGGCATGTTTCAAGTTGCATTTTTACTTCCTTGTACGAAGTAAAAAGGAAGCATTGTAATCATGAAAAGTTTCAGGCATCATATTTCAAAGAAAATATCCATCTTGAACGCTATCAAATTCCATTTAACGATGTTTTTGCATGACATCTGTAATTAAGGACAGAATAAAAAAAATATAAAACTGATTTAAAATGAATTCTGAAGAGATTTTATTTCATGGAGTCCATATCCCACATAACTAAAAAACGAGTAGCCTCAGAACTTTGAAATTTTGTATATAGGACTGCTATAACATGTAGATGTGCACCTCGCATTTTGGTTGCAATCAGCCGCACTAAACGTATATAAATATATGTACATATATATCCACTCTGTTACCCGGCTCAGTGATCTCAGTGTCTTTACTCTTGTGGGTTTGTATCTTGTGCAATTTTTTTTCTTTAAAAATGATTGAATTATGTTTTTCTCATCTTCCAGTTAAGGTTTGCATGCCTTTAGTGAATCTGCATGCAATATTTGTGAAGTTATCAACAATTTAAAAGTTGTTTAAATGTAACTAAGCCTAATGAATTTTGCGATGGCGGACATGTTTGTTTATATTTTAAACTTGGCAAAATAGGGGATTTGTTGCCAATCTAGAGAAACTAGGCTTTGCAACAACAAAGATAATGCCTTCTTTTATTATTGAGAATTAAATCATGTTTAATCCATTCTGGAATTTATTCCAGGAAATAAGAGTTTAAAATTTACTTCGTAATTTTTTATATAGATATTTTGAGTTTTTATATATTTTTGCCTTGTCGGGAAATGAGAAGTGAATTAACTGAATTGTCATTGAAAAAACTTTCTTTTTTGTTTTACTTGCTTAACTTCTTTTATACATCATTTTAGATTTATTATAGTATTTCAACAGAACATGTGGCAACGATTAGATAATTCTTAAGACGATATAAATTTATATGCATTCTGAGTTATAATATGAACGAATTGTAATGCTGTTAAGTGAAACTAGCACCAGAGTATTGCTGTGGTAAATAAATATAGTGAATTTTAAAGAGTGCATTTATTCTATTGTGGTTTGTGCACTATCGACGAAATAGATTTAATTCAATCCAATAAGTTTAAATAAAAGACAAGAAAAATGCATATAATTTAACCTTCCGCACAAGGAAGTCATGTGGTGTACACATCAGATTTTTTGGAATTAACTAAAATTCTGAGCATGTTTTTGCTTTACACTGTCTGCATTAAATCACGGTACTTCCCTTTTATAGAAGCTATTACATAAAGCGACCCCTGACATCTGCATATCAGAAATTTACAAATTAGGCAATTAAGTGTGCCAACCTAGCTAACTAAATTTAGTGATTGCTTTAACAATTAACAGCCACTCATCATGCAAAGTAATAACAAAAAATAAATAACTGCTAGAACGCTGATACTGATCTATTTTGACCCCATTTTTACCTATTTGTCTAACATTTCTTAATTTCTGGCACAAGTAAATCAGAATTCCACACATAGCCTGACTGGTATAGTAGAAGTGGGTAGAACAGAATTTCATGATTGGTTGTATAGTCCCATTGTACTAAATGTGCATTTCTCCCCCACCTTTGGGAAAGAATACTGCAGGAGGTGGTCTGAGGATCTGCCTACCACTAACTTCTTCAAAGAACTTTTGGCTCATTGAATAGTTTTTGTGCTCCCTTGCTCCCCCCCACACACAAACATCCTCTGCCAGAATTTGAAACCCATGCTCATCCACATGGCAATCAGCATCACTAATCCATTATACCAGATAGGCAGTCATACAGACAAAACTGCTCATCCGTTCCCTTTTTTAGGGGAGGGTAGGAGCACAGATGACTTCTAAATAACCAAACTGTGACAAAGGTTCATCTAAATATTGAAGATAATCAAAATCCCCTCTCTGTTGCACACCAATCTGTTTAATGAATGAAATGATATTGCCATTTTGCAGTACACAAAAGCTATATATGTTTATTATAAGGTACACAGTAAACTTTTATTATTTAAGAGTTGTTTTATTTTGATAAAAATTAAAAACAGAAAAACATTTTAAGCAGGATGCAGACAATTTTGGGAGGTAGGCAGGGGCAAAGAAATACACAATATATGACATAGTTTGCCATTAATGGAATATGAAAAACTAAGTGTCTATGGTGTGCAGTGATGTAACTTTCTAAATTGACAAATGCAACAAGATTACTTTAACACATCACTCAAATTATTAAATTAATTCCAACAGAGATAAATTATATTTAATTCATTATTCTAAACTGTACTTTTTGGTTAATTTCATTTAATTTTGAAATTACTTAAAAGGAATGAAAATGGAAATAGAAAATAAAAGCTTTTACCTATCAAAGTGCTCTGAATAAATCAAAATACAATTAGAAATTAATATGCATAGTCATACAGAAAAATTAGCTGTGTACCATTTAAAAATTTAATCTGGGATTATTATTAATCAAATAATATTAAGTAAGCCTTCCAAAAATGTTTTTAAGTCTTTGTAATGGATTAAAACCAAATCAAGTTGAATAAAAATAAAGTCAGGAAAAGTTGTGCAAAAAAATCGCTCAGGGGGGAAAATGGAAGTAGTGCAGTTTTAGATTTCATTTAAGAGACAAAATGCAATAAAAGCCTTAGCTTATTTTATTTAACTAAAAATTTCTTCACAACAATTTTTATTATGCTTATGATTAACATTTCATCTAAAGCAGTAGTGTGCAAACTAGGGGTTGCCAGAAGTTTTTTGGGGGTCGCCAAATTTTTATGAAATGCATTATGCCTGCATGCTGCATACCATACAGTGTACATATAAAGAGTAAAGCGCCATCACTCACTGTTTAATTGCAATTTCATGCTGTCCGCTCTTTCTTTAACCATAATGCGTAATATATGTAAAGTGTGAAGACGCAAGTTTTTCACTCTGGTAGATAGTGCCCTCTTCGCGGTAATTCGCCAGTTTTACTGAAAAGCACCTATTTGACTAGACGTTAACCACAGAGAAAGGGGGAAAATTTGCTCCCGTGATCAGCCAATCAGATGACGAGGTACGTGTTGTGTCTGATAGTCAGAGTGAAGACGTGAAGTGTTCGCATGAAGTTGTAGCATGTAGCAGTTGGCCTGCAATTGTTTTAGTTTATCCTCGAGTTTTATCATGTGACGTTGTGTAATTATGATTTTTTATATTTTTAATCCGGCTTTGCTACTCTGTTATCAGGTATGTACTATCATTAGAGAAAAATCTCTGTTAATTTTATTGAATTTCTCGAAAAAAAACGATAAAATTTTATATATTATTTGTTTTAGTTTAAATAATTTAACTCCTATCTTCATAATGGATAAATGGGTAATACGTACACCAGGTACATCTTCAGCTAACAAACGGAACAAATACTGATGAGGAGTCGCAAAATACTGAACTAAATGCCTTGATCTAAAAAAATAAGAAAATACAAATGAGGAAGTTTATTAAGTATAGTTTTACATTTTGTGTTGTTGATGATGAAGAACGCCCAATATGTGTCATTTGCAACGAAAAATTAGCAAATGAGAGTATGAAACCAGCTAAATTAAAAAGGCACCTGGAAACTAAACATAAAGAACTTCAAAATAAACATGCCGATTTTTTTCAAAGACGAGCTAAAAATCTGAAAATTCGAAGTGCACATTTCAAGAAATTTACAACAATACCTCAGAAAGCGTTACGAGCTTCTTTAGAAGTTTCTTATCTAATAGGAAAAACAACGAAGCCCCATACAATTGGAGAATCCCTTATCCTTACTGCAGCAACTAAGATGACATCAATTATACATGGCGATAAATATGGAAATGAACTAAAAACAATAGATCAAACAACAAATCAAAAGATATCGTGTCTCGGCGGATTTCCAAAATTTCACGAAATATCGAGTCAGAAGTCATAAAACGCATACAAAATTCATCTGTATTTGTTTTACAACTGGACGAGACTACCAATATTACTAAAATGTCACAACTAATTATTTACATTAGATTTATTTTTAATGAAGATATAACAGAAATGTTTTTATGTTGCAAAAGTTTGGAAGGAAAAAACAACTGGAGAAAAAATATTCGAAGTAATAAATGAATATTTTGAAACAAAGTCCCTTACCTGGGCAAACTGTGTTGCGGTTTGTACTGATGGTGCTGCAGCATTAACAGGTTCGAATAAAGGGCTCAGAGGCTTCAATTCAGAAGGTGGCGCCTCATATGGTATTTAATCACTGTATGATTCATCGGCAAGCTCTTGTTGCAAAAAGATATGGATGAAGAGTTGCACAACATATTACAAGACGCTGTTAGTTCAATTAACTACATTAAATGCAACAGCCACAACAGCCGGTCTCTTTTCAATACTTTGCAATGAGATGGGCTCAACGTATGAGAGATTACTGTTACACACCGAAGTCAGATGGCTTTCACGTGGGAAAATACTACGACGGATATTTGATTTGAGAAATGAAGTGTACATGTTTTTAATCGAAAAGAAACATAGATTGGCAAGTTATTATATCATTGAAGTTTGGCTAGGGAAGCTGAGCTATTTAGTTGATATTTTCGAAAAACTTAACGACTTAAATTTGAGCTTGCAGGATGAGAATTCAACTATCATAACTTCAGCCAGTAAAATTCAAGCTTTTAAGAATAAGCTTAGTCTCTCGCAAACTGAACTCATCAAAAACAACACCGACTTGACGATTTTATCAAGGAAAATAATATAGTTATATTTACATTTACAAACATTATTTCCAATCACATTGAAAAGTTAAAGAAAAATTTTTCGAGAAGATTCGAGGATTTTCCTGAAAACGATCTTGGTTGGATTCGTGATCCATTTTCCTTTGACATATGCAGTTCAACTCTTCAAATTAGTGAGAAAGAGCAATTGATAGATCTAATTAGTGATTATACGCTTTGAAATCAACTTAAGACTCAGCCTTGCCAAAAATTTTGGCTATCCATGGAAAAACAATATCCCGTTTTATGATAGAATGCCATCAGAGTGTTAATACAATTGGCATCAACGTATTTATGTGAAACTGGATTTAGCAAACTAGTTTCTATAAAAACTAAATACCGCTCGCGTTTAAACCCTGAAGATGATATGCGAATTGCAATTAGCAACATAATCCAAACATCGGTGACATAATTAGAAACTTGCAGCCACATACATCTCATTAAGGGGCAATTTACTGATTTTTGTGTTATACAAAAAGTATTTTCTTAAAATTATAAATAAAATTAATATGAGTCAGATATGATGATGTTTTTATTCAATAAAACGAAAGAAATGCGCGAAATATACTTTGTATTTGTGAACATTTATCTGTAGGGGTCACCAAAAATTTCTCTCTGCAAAAGGGGGTCGCAGTCGAAAAAAGTTTGTGCACCACTGATCTAAAGCATATGACTCATAAGTCATCTAAACTCAGATATAATAATTCATGTATTGTCACCTCTAAGGGGAGTCTCATTCATGTCACCTCTAAGGGAAAATTTTTAGATTTCCCCTTAGAAGAGACATGAAAGATCAAGTTTCCTCAGTCAGAAGAAATTTCTTATTACAATAATGGTGCGAATTGTTCGTGAATATTGTTAACCAGGTATACTACAAAACAGATCAATTAAATGCATTATTATTATAAATTACAACCATTAGCTATATTACTAAAATAAATACATGAATTATTATGAAGTAATTTTATTGCTTTTAAGACACGTTTTAAGCAACTTCAATTATAACATTTGGAAGATAAAATATTTAATCACTGTTCAAAGGAAATGCTCTAGAAATCTGACTATTTAGCAAGCAGTACAGATAATTATTTGACTTGTTAAAAATAATTATCAAACACTGCACATGCCAAAAAAATTAACTGAAAATTATTATTTTAATAAAAATATAAAAACAGTTTGTAAAGAGATAAGATACGTGAAAAGAAAACCAAAAATTGAATCTCTATGTTTCTCGTAAAGAAATTTTAATATACCTCTGCTTATTTTAAGATATTATTAGCTAAAAACTAATAAATGTAACTATTACATTATATTAAAAATAAAGCAATAACTGTATTAATTATTGTTAAAATAGAAAACTAATCTGCAGCATTAGTTCTAAAAGATCACAGGCTCAGGCAGTTACTGCCACAGCAAATATTATTGGTTAAGGAAGGTTAATGCCTTGTCTATAGCCTGTTATAGGTATTTCAGAGGCATTTTCCCCTTATAACTTGCCTCAAAAACATGAAAACAACTGTTGGGGAAGACAGTCAAGATTTGTAATTTGCCAAGTCCTAAATTCCCTCCATGTATGTCTTACGACTGCAAATGAGGCGAGGGTGATGACAACTTTCCCATGCCTCTTTTAAAGCAGCAGACTGTAGCACCTTTTAAGTTAATTTTCTGCAATAATTGCGAATCAGCATTTCTCATTGGGCATTTATTAAAAAATCAACATGCATTATTTAAATATGTAAATTAATTATGATACTATTAATTACTTTGTTTTAATTTTTAATTTAAAAAGAAATCAATTAGTGAAACTAAAAAGCTACCTTTTCAAGGTCAACATCATCTGCCAATTTCATGTTCTTTGTGTGGATGCGAAGAATTTCAAGGCGGCCAGTGGCATCGGGTATGCCAATATCAACTTCTCGGTCAAAACGACCTTTTGAGAAAGGTAAAAAAAGTTAAAATACATCTGGAATTTATTCCAATAGCTCTATAACATGATTCAACAAACAACCATAAAACAATGTAACAGTAGAGTTTTCATAAAGCATTAAAGAAACTAATAAATATATAAAAATGAGACAGTTTTTAAAATAAAATTTTGAAAGCAAAGAATTGTATGCATCAAATTAGTTTTGAATCAAGCAAAAATAAATAAATAAAATGTTTCAGCTTGTGATGCCAAAGATCTTAATTATTTATGTAATTTTATTTTAATTGCCAGTTCACTCTTTACCTTTCTTTTACGAACTGAACCAAGAAGAAAAGAAAAAAACAGAGTGTGCTCCTTCTTAAACTTGAAAATTACAATTCACCATCTCAAAAGGGTCTGAAATGAATATGGCAAATCACACTAAGGCTATCAGCTAAAGGGATGCCTTCATGTAGGATTTTCTGATGGAAATTAGCTTATATTCATGTTATATATACAGAAAATCACACCATGCAGCTAGCCATTCACCTGAATCTTAACCAGAGTGAAACAACCAGTGTACAGTGATCTTATAGCCACACATCTCAGAAAAAAAATGGGGGATTTTTTTTTTTTAAATGTTCTGTTGTTGATTGATAAAACTATCTTTATTATTCAATAAAATAATTCCATTTTCTGAATGATTTGGCATTACTTGTAACTTCTTAAAGGAAAGAAAAGCAAGAGAAAATGCTTAAAGTATTGAAAATTACACTACTACTTGAAGAAGACTGAAATAGATTTCTATTAAATTAAAAATAAAACCTTACATTCTAAAAAAGGAATCTTTTGGATTTATTTTTCTTGTATAATCACAGTTACAATGCGAATCTTGTTAAAAAATACAGCAAAGAAAAATAATTAATCAGCATTAAATTATCACTGAAATGAAGTTCTAGTTTCTCACAATTTAGATTAAATTAATAATGAGAAATTGTGTAACTAAAACTTTAATGCAGACTGGCATAAATTATTAAAATATGATTCACAATTCTTAATGAAGAAAAAACAAAGATTTAAAAGCTTAATAACACTGGACATCAAAATTAAAGGATAATGAAAAAAAATATGCTCACTAAGTTAATTAAATACAACTGAGCCCAAAACTGCACTTCCGCATATACTTTAGTGCTTGAAATATGCAAATTCAGTAATTGACAAAGGGATGCGTAATGGATGCATGTTGGAATTCACGTCTGTAGTGCTTTAACAGATGTTTTAAAATTATTAAATCACTTTAAAGCAACAAAGTGGTTTCTAACAGCTATCAGTTTTCAGTAATTATGGCTCAAAGGCATCATTTAAGTAAAGGCCAAAAGTGACTAATAATTGTTAAAATCGAGAAAAGTCAAACACAAATGGAGATTGGCCAAGATCTGAATATCCCTCAAAGTGTCATATCGTGAGTTTCAAGCTGCTTTTTAAGCACTGTATCAGTTGATTGATAGCCTGGTCAAGGGCAACTAAGAGCAACAACTGAATCAGAATTTTTTTTTTTGTTGTTGTTGTTGTTGTCTGCTTGGTTTAGTTTTAGACCTTCAGGTTGCAGCAGTAACTCAAATTAGCTACTTTAATCCTGCAAGAATGCTTAATGAGGTTGGACTGTATGGCAGAAAACGAATGGTTTGTGTCCCACTCACTCCAGCTTCTAGAGTAGCCCAATTAAACTAGTGCCGTCATCATATTCAATGGAGCCAGGACGAACCAGCCCAAGGATTGTTTACTGATGAGTCCAGAACAGTGATTCTAGATGCGTTTTAATCTGGAGAGAGGAAGGAACACACAACTTGCCTTCTTGTCCTTCAAATAACCTGTTTCACCAAGCACGATTTAATGCTTTGAGGAGGAATCATGATAAATGACCACATTGAGCTGCATATCTTTTAAGGAGGCTCTGTAACTTCTCAGATATATATGGACAGGTTATTGGAAACCCAAGTTAAGGCTTTTTAGGGATGCTATTGACCTGAAGTTTTTCCTAATGGATGACAACACTTGATCTCATCGAGCATATGTGATGTCAGAATATTTGCAAACAGAACCATCTTGCTCACCCGACTTGAACCCAATTGAGAACATGTGGGACGGTTGCCTTAGGGTGCCATATGCAGGGCTGTGGAGTTGGTAGGGAAAAAGATCGACTTCGACTCCCTCATATATATATATATATATATATATATATATATATATATATATATATGTAAACATTACACATGGATTACAGTTTATTTTTTTAATATAAAAGAAGTAATAGATGCTACAGAAAAAAAAATTGATGGCATAGCAAATTATTTATATTAATTAGCATTTATTATGAAATGAAAAAACTGACATTAGTTATTTCTAAGAAAAGGTATAGCTTTGGCAAGAGCTTCTTTATTGGAGGGCCATAGACACGATTTGATAAACTTCAGAGCTGAGAAGTCTTTCCACACTAACTTGACTAGGAGGAAGAGCTGTTACTGTTAAGGCTACTTCTTTTAACTTTTCAAGATAGATTTTTATAAGTTCTAAAAGAGGTGTCTTTCAAGCACAATCATGTTTCTCTCTTTCTTCAAAAGCCATGCTGAAATCTTGTTTGTATTTTTTCATTTTTATACCTAAAGGCACTTGGTTCTTTTATTTTCATTCGTTTTACCTCAGCCTTTTCTGTATTATCCAAAAATATTTCTCAAAATCTAATTCATCACTGGAAGACGATGATAGAGACTCAATTGCAATGTCTGCAGTTTGACTGTCCTCATTCGAATTCTCCAATTGTTCTGAGAATAATTTCATTCTTAATGAAAGTTCATAGGTAGTTTTCTTTGCCTTTTTAATTTGTTCGTCATCCAAGAAAATTCGGTGTTTTGGATCTACATACTGAACCCAGCAAGATCTCATTTTCTAGCAAACTAGTTTCTCTTTTCTTCATTTAAGAAATGATTCCTTCTGCAATAAACCCTTCATTTCAGAAAGAACAAACACCCCATTCTTCTATTCTCACCTCCTGTCAATTCTTCAGATTGTAGCTTTTTTGTGGCTATATACAGTGGAGAAAGAAGAATTACCAATTCTGAAAGATCATTCCACAGTCCTTCTGTTAGTGAAACATTAGGGTTATCTGCATCTTCTAAAAACGTTCTTAATTCTAAAAACCTCTTAGCATCAAATATGTACTTCCTTATCATGCTGCTTGATCAATAATTGCTCCTTTTCCTGCTTGCATCCTAAGAGTGGCATCAATTTTGGGAGTTCTTGCCGCTATTGCTGCTTACCTAAATTTACCAGCGAGATTTGTAACTAAATGAATCAGTTTAATCACTAATGACAAGTATCACATCCATCCTCCTCCCTTAATTTATTAATAGGTCAATAAAATAGACTAACTATGTATTAATGTATATAGTCCATACATAAAAACTCGGCTTGTCATTAATTTTTTTCAATTCATTTTAATTTCGTTTCAAATTCAAACTGTCCAACAAAACTGGAGTCAGAGTCAACCTGTTTTTAGTGACTCCAGTTCTGACTCCTTTTACCCCAAATCTGCCCGACTCCATGACTCTGACTCCACAGCCATGGCCATATGTCGGCACACTAAATTCCTCCCCAGACCATCCAGAAACTGAAAAGCACACTTTCTAGTAGAGTGGCGTGCAATTCCACAAGACTTGATCACAAGTCTATAAAATCAACATGTGAGGTACGCATGTCTGTCCGAGGTGACCATATACCATATTAAAGAAAAAAATTCCACAAGAGGTAACTTAATTTGTCCATCATTTTACAATTTCCATAAATTTGGTTTTAATTTCAATGTTTTGCAAATAATCAACTGCCAAACATTCTAATTTTTGTTAACTAATTCTTCTGTACAATTTCTATTAATAATTTTTCATTAAGTATCAGTTACATTTTATTTCTGTCATTATTTTTCAATTTTGAAGATCAATGTACATACAAATTGGAACATAAATTTATAACTTAAATTTTCATCATAATAGATTATGATCTTTTCTTTTATGACATATGTCAAACAATTTCCTATCGAAAATTATCGTCAGTGGAGAGAGAGGAATTATCGTCAGTGGAGAAAAGTCACCTACTTTCTATTCTTAAATTAAACATATTGTTTTGTCTTTTACAACAGTGGTCTCAAACTGATGGCCTGCCGACTGTATGCAGCCCCAGAAACATTTTATGCCACTCGCGAAGATATTTTAAGAATTTATTTTTAGTAAATATGGTGTTATTTAAAGTATGAGTTTACATCATTTTTATTTTCCAGAATACCTATAAATGGAGCTAATTAATTTACAATGTAATATAAATTTTGTTTGAAGATTTAAAGATAGAGAATTTATTAAATTTTTAGGTTTTATTTTATATAAATCAGGTTTTACTTTGTTCAGGTCTTTATCTAACAGATCAGGTTTTATTTCATTTGTACCTGTCAAAATGTAAATAACCCCAGTGACGAATTTTTGCATTAAGAATAATCGCCTTATTTGGAAATACATTTATATGAGAACAGCACTTTTTTCATACAATTGAAAATTAATAAGAAAAAAATTTGACTGAATCTGTTTTATAATTAGTAACATGCAAATATATATATTGTTATTTATGCATCAAAAAATTTTAGTAAATAAGGAAAAGAGATTAGGTCTCTTTTGTTGCACTTGGTCAATTTTTTTGAAATCTTGATAAATTTTCTCTCAAGTTTTCATAATTTGTTTATTTTTAATTTTAAATTAAAAAGTTATTTATGGGATATTAAACAAGTTACAATAACTTTACAGAAATGTCTCTAAGAGCTTATATTTACCTGTCAGTATATTTGAATACCAAGGAGCTGTCTTACAAGTATCAAACTTCAGATAGAAAATAAATATAAATTTGTATTCTCCCCTTCGTATTATTTGTGTATGTTTTGATAAATATTTAGAAAGTGAAATTTCAAATTTAATTAAAACAATTAGTTTATTAACAAAATTTTTCTTTTTGTACAATAAAAAAATTCGACCTCTGTGCATTAAGTAATCTGTGCATCTGTAAGATTGTGCATACAGCCCATATGCAGTTATCACAGTCTTACTTTTTTTTTTTTTTAATGTAAAATATTAGGAATGAAAAGTTTTTTAAATGTGTACTTTTATTTTGATTACTTGTGTACATTAAAACAACTAACCTTTAATTCTCGTGCTTAGAAAATTTTATCACAACTAAATAATTATAATAGCTGCACTAAGATCAATTTAGCATTACTGTGAAAAGAAAGCAATACAAATAAAAAATTCCTGAATTTGCTCAAAGTTTTCGCTACACCAGTTTTAAAAGTTACAAAAAATTATACATTATATTATAACTATTAAATTACAAATTTATATATTTCTAACATTATAAACATGATATTGTAAAATCATACATCACTTATATTTAGAATTATATTATAAATTGACATCTGAGATTTGTTTAAGTTATCTGCATGCTACTGAAGCTCCTGCCACCAGGAAATGTAAAAACTTTCCAAAGAACCCTCATGCAGGTACTGCTTTAAATACTCATCAGACCTACAAGACTAATTTTAAAGATAAAATTACAAATTTTATTAATAACTAAAAAAATTAATTTAAAAATTAAGATTGTGAAATATTTTTAAATAATAGGGAAGGAAAATAATAATTATAAGCAGCTGACAGCTGTCTGATTACTAATTCAAACTCACTGGGACTCGTAAAAAACTGCTTGCATCTCTACAAAACTTTCTTTTTTCGTGAGATTTTGAAAATTTAAGCTTTTGTTAAACTCAAGACAAAATTTTTAATCACCCTATTTCCAAATCAATGAAAATTTACCATAGTTATCTTAATGGATTTTATAAATTCAGAAGTATTGACAGGTAAGAAGAAAAGATATTAGATAAAATAAGAACTCACCAAAACGTCTCAAAGCGGCATCAATACTGTTTGGTCTGTTGGTGGCAGCCATCACTATTACATGAGATCTTTGCTTCAGGCCGTCCATCAATGTCAGCAGCTGGGATACAATACGTCTCTCGACTTCTCCATGAGTCTAAAACAGTTAGTTCATAGAATAGGATATCTTAGATATTTTTATAATACAGATTTATTCACTTCATTTAAATGCAGCTGTTAAGGCCAATCCCACCCCCTTCAAGAGGATAACTTACATTCCAAGTTATCATTTCAGTTAAACCTTTGCAAGAATGAAACATTAGATTCCTTCTGAATATAATTTATAGATACTATTAGAAAATGCTTAAAAGGTATTAGATATTCATTGCACTTATTTATTATAACTCACACAATGCAAAACAGAATGGCATAACTGCTAACCTTTAAAATATGAAAAATCAGGAGGTTTTCACACTGCACGGCAATGCCATTTCAAAAAAAAAAAAAAAAAAAATCCAAATCGACCAAAAATATCCATAAATTTTATTGCTGAGAAGCATTTTCCTAGATTTTAAAAATCACTTAAGAAAAAAATTCGAGATCTGGTGATGTACCACATAATGTGATGGGAAAGTGGGAGAATTGGCAACTATGGAATGATAATAATAAAAAACTCTCATAACATTTAAAATAATAAGCATGCAAAATATGTGTAAATTCCTGTCACAGCAAGCTTTCAATATATTGAAATATTCAATATATTCTTCCAATACACTGAAAGAACATGCAAGAGCATACTGGATGTCACTTCAAGTATGGAATTGGGACACTTTTTAGAATACCAAACTAATAGTTTTTAAGGTCAAATTACTTGGATTAGAAAAACGGAATTACATGCAACTTGAACCAATATGTGTGAAAGGTCAACTGAAATCATTTTCTATGACTCGTGTAAAAATGCACAACTAGTATTTGTATTAACATATTTGGCAATGAAATTGCATTTCTCTATGTCTGCTCTCATTGTATTAGTGGGTAGGATATCCAGCCATTAATTGCATATGAGTCCCCCCCCTCATCAAAGCCTGTTTCTTTAATTTCATTAAATTACAGCACTTTTATTATTGTACACCCTCAGGGAAAAAAATTGTCTTCCAGAATCAAAAGCAAGATCACAAAACTCAAAAAGAGATCAGCACAAAGTAAACAGTTAGTTACATTTTAGGTTAGTAACTCTGGGAACATAACATCAGTATATAATTTGCATGTTCAATAATTTATATGCTCTCAGAAAATAATTTCATCTTTCAAACTCAAGTAAGATATACACACTCAGGAAAACCCTGAGTATAAAACACTTCAAGAGGTCAGATGACGCGCATTGTTTTCATCACAGAGCAACTTGAGGTTACTGACAACTGAAGGGTAACTAAATTACTACATAATCTGCACATTCAATTTTAACTTTTTAAAATAAAGCAAGACCTGCATTAGTTACTACAACAAATCTTTCATGCAAATAAATTTTTTCCCAAACTTATATCAATTATATATATTTTTATTTATTTTAGATTTGTATATATTTTTATTTATTTTACATTTATATATATTTTTACCTTACTTAAAAACTTTAAATTTGCCACCTTGTTAAAATATAATATTCAGTTATAAAAAGAATTTTTGAAATCAGGTATCTATAAAAATTAGATTTTATCAATGTTAATTGCTTTATGTGTGTGCTGTGTGCATCTAATTTGATTAAAAACTTAACATTTTCAAAAAATTAATTTTGTTCTGTACAAGAAAATGAAAATTAAACATGCTTGCCAACTTCTTAAGGGTAAAAATTAGAGGATATTTGAAAAAAAAAAAATCAATAAAGTTTACAGAGAAAATTTATATATCTGAATATTTCAAAAACAACTAAAAAGAGGAACACTTAAAATATTAACTTTCCTGCTTCTGCTAAAAAATAATTCAGAAATTGCATTTCATAATATTCATTTTTATAAAATTTCAGCACTAAGATACTCAAAATCTCCAAAACTGAAAGGTGAGATATTAACATGACAAAGGTAAAAAAAAAAAAAAAAAATGTTTCATTTCTACATTATACCTACCAACTCTAAAGTATGAAAAATTTCACAATGGCACCGTTTCAAAAGAGCTCCAAACTGACTTAATTCATTTTATAATGCACAAATCAGGTTATTCAACAATTTACAGTATGAATCTGATATAAAATATGACTAATTACATATTCTAAATTTTAAATTCTTTGGCTAATTTCATCATCTAATTTTCTTATACTTTTATACTGAGAAAATACCAAGTATGGATAAAAAGCTTTAATTTATCACAGTACTTTCAAACATGATAAAAATAAAATAATTAATGACCATACCATTGTGTCCATATGCTTATTAATGTACCATATATTGATATAAAACAAAATTCAGTGACTTAACATTGGTTGAATTTTCAAATAAATTTCTGCAAAATGTCTATAATACATCAATGCTATAAGGCATTTCTCCTGCCTTCTTACTGTGTCTTCATGGTGTAGTGGTCTGCACGCTGGGTGTGTATTCCAGAGGTTTATAGTTCGATTCCCAATGGGCTTTGCTTATTTTGCATCTCTCTTGCTTCCAAAAATTACCTAATGTCTCTACAATGGCACCCGAACTATAAGAGTGGTGGATGACGACTCTCCACACTCAGAATTTGGCAAAATACAAGTCACCCTTTAAAAGGGGGAGTATATAAAGTTTTTTTCTCGCCTTCTTAGCATGCCTTCGTGGTGTAAAGATTCAGCACACTGGGCGCGTATTCCAGAGGTCCGTGTTTCGATTCCCGGCGAAGGCGTTGCTCATTTTTCATCACACCTGTTTTATTTAAAAAAATAACCATGTCTCTACAATGCAATTCAAATCAAATAAAAAAAAATTAGAAAATTTCTTCTGAAAGTTATAGGAATGGTGGGGTTCCACAATTTCAGGTACATTATTAATGAAACAAATTAGTGAATTAGTGAAATTGGTGAATTTCTAGCAAATGATTTCTTTGCTTTTCTCACAAAAGTTTAATAATTTACATCTTTTTGAGGTAACCATTCATAAAATTTTGTTTACAGCTAATAAAATAGCCAAGAAAAGAGAATGGGAAATTCCTTTAAATGAGCTAAAGCTGGAAATCTAAAATTACAAGTGAGATTTTGGCAGAGAGACTTCTAAATTAGCAAAAATTTTAATTAATAAAAGGTCTTTTCTAGTTAATAGGATACCAACATGAAATTAAATAGCAAATCACCAAATGTAGTAACCTGCTTATTTCATTTTATGACATCATTGAGAATAAATGGCAAGAATAAACATCAATTCAGTACTTTTTCCTTAGATTTCCCATTGTGTTTTCTGTTGAAATACAGAACCCAAAATCCTGCTATACTGCCTCATTACGGCAGGAAAAGACATGACACCAAATAGAACAGGTGAATTACATGTGGAGTGTACCTCTTGATAAGGCAACAAAAACCATTCCATTATATCAAATTAAAGCATTTGGAACTACGTCTGCCTTCTGTTTATCAACAGAATCTGTTCACTTTCCCTTTTTCATTGAGTTTGTGCTTTTTCCCATTTGTAATAAATCCTATTCTGGAAGAGTCAAAACCTGTGATGTTTTTTCTCATCTTCTTTAATTTCACTAGTAAAAAATTTTCTGCTAATGCTTCCCTTTGTCAGAGAGGGAGGTTATTTAGAATTATGACTTGATGGACTTTGCAGAACTGAATTGCCAAGAAACTCAAAATAATGAATTAAAAAAAAGGAAAAAAGAAAAAAAATTCAGCATGGATTACAGAAACATATAGCTGTCGAAAAATAAACTGTCAGAAGAATACAATTGTGATTAAGATAATATTATCCATACTGACAGACTTCATTCCAAAAACCATAAAATGAAATTGTATTACTGGCAAAGCACCGAAACGGGGCTGCAATGAAAGAGCTTATCACAAGAAAAAAAAATTAAAAGAACACATACAGGATTGCAAGTTCTTAGATTCCTTTTCTGAGAGCTATTCGGTATATTTACTTCTGGTTTCAAGAACTTACACTAGTAGAAGTCTAAACTGCAGTTACAAATGAAACACCATACAGTTACTGACTAAAATAAACGGGGCTGCAATGAAAGAGCTTATCACAAGAAAAAAAAAATTAAAAGAACACATTACAGGATGCAAGTCTTAGATTCCTTTGAGAGCTATTCGGTTTTATTGTTCTGGTTTCAATAACTTACACTAGTAGAAGTCTAAACTGCAGTTACAAATGAAACACCATACAGTTACTGACTAAAATAATTATGTGCCCTTTTACTTTCATCCTATTAACTGGAATACTAAAATAAAGTTCTTAAATATACTTAATTTAACTTCATTCTATACGGTATATTATCCCTCCTTTAAGCATGCCTTTGTGGTGTAATAGTTAGCATATTCAGTGCATATTCAAGAGGCCCAGGTTCAAGTTCCTGCGAGGGCATTGCACATTTTTCACGTCTCATGCTTCAAAATATCCTAATGACTCTACAATTCTTGCATTTAATAATAATGGAATTATACTGAATGTATTTCAAGTTAAGTTTTATTTTGAAAGGAGGAAATGATAAAGAAAAAAAAAGAAAATTTTAAAAAATTCAATCCTTTAAAATACATTTATTCTTACAAAAAACATTATATGCATAAAATATGCGTAAATAACCTCTGGATTAAATTTTCCACAATTTTAATTTATACAGATCTTATGTTGCTGCTTATTTTTATGGTGTATAAAATTTAATTGTGCAATACACAAAAGGCAAAATTATTTCATCAAAAGATTATAGTCATAATAGTAAAACTAACAAAGCTGTAGAGTATATTACATTATCTATTGTAAGGAACAAAAAATTATCTAACTTTGTTGGGATTCAAAGCACAAATCTTTCAAAGCTAAATGAATGTGATAACCACTTATACCACGCAAGCTTGCACATGGAATAAATTGCAGAATTTTATGCAATGTATTTTCTCTTCCATAGCATAACTTTTTTACCTTATAGAAAAATCACACATATATTTCATGACCTAAACTGACATTTCCAAGCAATCACATAATTTATCGCTAGTTTTTTAAGCAATTACATCTCCCCCAAACTATTTAAAATTCAAAGTTTAACTGAAATACTCTACCTTCTCTCTCTTGGGGGCAATGGCATCCAGTTCATCAATAAAAATAATTGAAGGAGCATTTTTCTCAGCTTCTTCAAAAGCTTTACGCAGGTTGCTCTCAGATTCACCAGCCAATTTACTCATTATCTCGGGGCCTGGATAGGATAAAGTAATGTTTAAACTACATAAATTTAATTATAATTATAAAAAAACTCTCTGAATGCAATTTGCAATTATACTGTAATGAAGTACATAATATTGTAATATATGGCATCAGAACCATTTTTTTACTGCTTAAGTAATACTGTGACTGGCCAGACTGAAAATCATTATTCTAGTTAAAAAGGACAATAGTTATTCAAGCCTTAAATATAAAAGCTTTGAATCTTCATACAAGATGATGATTAAGGATAATAAATGCGAATTTTTAAGATTTGTTAACAGCTGGCAGCATGTAAAAATATTACAGGTACTCCTGCTTTGAACCTTTCGAAACTAGCAGGACAATACATCCCAAGGTAGATTTCATTTTTAGTCTTGAAAGGCCTAAAATATAATATCATTCCCTATTCTGTGATCTGTATAAGAATTCTAATAAAACTAAATTTTTAAAAATATTTCCTAATTTTAGCTAGTATTATGATTTACTTTACCTTAGTTTCCAAAAAGTAATTGAAATATGCTTATTAGGTGTTAAATATTACACCCAAATGAGAATTACAACTGTGATACTATATGTTGTAGGATTCAAAAGTTCCCGGATCAAGTCTATAACGTAAAACTTTTTTGCAGTAGTGCGACTACGAGAACACTTTTGTGTTACTATGCTCTCTCCCTTTTCTAAAAGTAGTTTGTCCTAAATCATGTGGTCGAAAGCTCACAGCGACAACGTTTTTTTGCAAGCAGGGGCATTTAGTAATTGGCAATGGAAAGAAATGGCATCAGTTGAACAGAAGATCAATATCAAATTTTGTGTTCGCTTGAGAGAGTGCTATGGAGACTTTCAAAATGTTGAACCATGTGTACATTAGTGAAACATCGACAATGCAAGCTTTTGAGTGGCATTGTTGTTTCAGAGAAGGCAGGAAAAGTGCCGAAGACGACGAGTGCTGTGGCTATTCCGTGAATTCACACACCAATGAACATCAAAAAAAGTGTCTGTGGCAGGATGTGTGAACGGGCAGCAAACAATTTGTCTAACATCAGAATCAGTTGGGATATCAGAAACCATGTAAGTGGAGGATTAACAAAGGATCTTAACATGCATAGGGTGTGTCAACACATCTTTCCCTGTATGTTAAATGTAGACCAAAAGGAAATTCGAATGGAAATGGCGGGAGATCTCGGCTGTTGACAAAGATCTTTCGCTACTTGGCAGAGTTGTTACTGGAGACGAGAAATGGTGTTTTTTGTACGACCCACAAACCAAGAGAAACCCCCAAACCATCGGCAATGTGGAAATCACCACAATCTCCACAGAAGCAGAAATTACGCCAAGATGCTCTAAAGAAAAGGTCATGCTAGAGGTATTTTTTGATATCCAGGGAATTGTTCATCTGGAATTTATCCCTGAAGGACGCATTGTGGACAAAGAACTCTACGTCGAAATCCTGCGTCGTTTGCGTCAGTCAATCCGGAAGAAGAGACCAAAAATGTGGGCTCAGCAGTCATGGGTGCTGTTGCATGACAATGCTCCTGCTCACCGATCCCTACCTCGTCAATGACTTTCTTTGCGAAAACAAAAACAACTGTTTTGCCTCATCCTCCTTACACACCTGATCTCGCACCCTGCTCAAGATGTTTGCAGGGTTGTCGATTTCAATCTTCAGATGAAGTTAAATGTACATTGCAAGCTGAATTAAAAAGGACATAGCCAAAAATGGATTCCAGACATGCTTTGATGAACTTTACAGGCACTGGAAAAAGTGTGTTGTTGCACAAGTCTTATTTCGAAGGAGGATGCATTTCTGCAATTCATAATATTTTTTACATTATAGACTCAGTCCGGGAACTTTTGAATCCTACCTTGTATATCCACAATTTTCCGATAACTATCACATTTAAAAGTCATCCAAAATTATATCTTTCAGTTAATGTTAAAAAAATTTTAATTAGGTATTAAAAAATCAAACTTTTGGGTTAAATCATTTAAATTAAACTTCCCTCGACACAAATGACTAAAAAAAAAAAGTGACTATAAAATCAAAAACACCAAAATATAATTATTAGCAAAATATCTTACCATTAATTAAAAAGAAGAAAGCTCCAGTTTCATTAGCTACTGCTCTTGCTATCAAAGTTTTTCCAGTACCAGGAGGCCCATATAATAAAATACCTCTAGGAGGCTGAAAAAAAATTAATTCACATGAAACATCCTGAACTTTATGAATGAATACATCAATACCTTAACACAGAAGTTCATTTTGAAATTTTTAGTGAAAAATATTTTAGTTCAAAATGTTTCTTTAAATCAATGCACGTAGCCCCCTCTCTTTTTTTGGGGGGGAGGGGAATTATTTTGCCTTGCTTGCTTGTTCCTGCTAATAATGAAAAGCATGATGCAATTTCAGAAGAAAGTGAGTGAGTGAGAGATTATGGCGCAA